GCTTGGAGTAGTCGTGATTGGTCTTCCATATGTAAATGCATTGATTCTCGGAACCGGCAATGATATACTTTCCATCGTGACTGAACGAACCCTTGATTTGCGAGGAGGCGTTCAAGTAGCCCTTGTACTTGCAGGACAAATTCAGGTCCCTCAAATCGTATAGGCGCACTCGGCTGTCATTGGAGGTGACCAATATTTTGTCCTCTCCGGGCATGGGCTCGATGCCGCTGATCTTGCGGCCAATGCGGTTCTTGCCGCGGGTAGAGCGCACATGGATCTGCGTGTGGTACTTGAGCTGATCCGTGTTGTAGAATATACAGCGCCCGTCGTAGCTGCCGACCACTGCAAACTGACCGTTCTGACAGAAATTAGCTGCCGTGATGAGCTTTGTCTGGCCATCCACCTCGTTCCACAGAGCCACCTTCTTGTCGGGTATATTCCACAGTCTCAGCTTGCCATCGAGGCTGCCACTCAGAAAGTATCGATCGTCGCGCGGATGAAAGGCAATGGCTGTGACAAAATCAATATGCTGGAAGCAGCAGAGGCACTCCTTTCTGGATATGTGCCACAGGCGGACAGTCTTGTCCATGCTGCTGGACAGGATGAAGTAGTTCTTTGACCAGCTAACATCCAGCAGATCCGAGGTGTGCCCGTTGTAGGTGCAGAAGGGCTTGGGCATGAATGGCCCTGTGCATTTCTCAGCGGCTGTGGCCATGGCAATGGCCTCCTCGGCCGAATGCTGCGACACGAGAGACTCCTGCGAGGGTGTGGGCGATGACTTTTGATCGGCATTGTATTTGTTGCGCATGTCCTGGGGAATACTCAATGAGCATTAGGCAAGACAAAATTTACATTTCCAAGAACTCTTACCTGAAAGAATGGATAGGCATCTTTTAAGACCCAAATTCGCAGAACCTTGTCCTGTCCAGCCGTGGCCAAGAGCCGGCCACACGAGCTGAACTTCATGCACCACACTGCGCTAGTGTCCTCGCCACTCAGATCCTGTACGTGCTGCAGTTTGGTGAATTCGTACGGCCCTTTGTTTGACGATGAAGCTTTGATTTTGATATTCTGCTCGGGATTCATAGCATCCACAATGTCGGCCACATCCTCCTTGTGCCGCGCATGCGAAACTTCCGATGCAATCGACTTGGCCTTGTCCACTGTCTTACGCATTGTGGTGCCAAAGAAGCGCTTAATGCGTGCCGTTTTCTTTTTCAGACGACTGCCGTCGTCCGTTTCGAGATCCTCTTCGTCGGGCACCTGGCCTTCAATGCTGGGGGGAATGCCAATCACACTTTCCTCATCGGACTCCTTTTGCGTCACCTCCAGATGCGACGTCAGCTTGAGGATGTGCAGCGAGAGTGGATCCCAGCCCTCAGGCACTGGGGGTGAACGCATCTCGGAGAGCGGCATATTCTCTCCCGTGTCAAGATTCTTCACAGGCACTTGCTCGAGTATCTCAAAGTCGGTTAGCTGCTTGCCAGAGCTAGTGCGCGTCCTCACATAAATGTTCATCTGCTTAAGCACATCTTCATCGCCTGCGGACTTTCGTCGTTCCTTCTCGTTGGTGACGCGATACAAAGCTGGATAGCTGTTGGGCAGAAACGATCAGAAATGTAGAATAGAAATATGCTAGAAAAACTCACCGCGAGGCACTGCCCAAGCTGTTGGAGCCGGTGCCCGCCAACTTGCGACGATTTGCGTTCTCCATGAGCATTTTCTCAATGCGCTCGATCTCATCCTGGGACGGACCCTGGGCCTTGTTGCTGGCCTCATCGCGGGGCTTAACAACGCAGCCACCCTGAATGGCCTTGAATAGATTGAGTCCCTGATTCGGATCGATGGAGCTGACGCGTCCTGGCGCCGAGTTGCTCTTGGCCGAGTTTGAGGGACTTGGTTTCGAGTAAACTGATGTGGAACTGCTACCCAGTGAATGCGAGGGCTTGGAGAGGGCAGCAATGGCCGTCGTGGCCAACATGGGACGTATATGCATGGCACTCATCGATGGCATTTGCACGTGCGACGAGGGCGTGGCTGTAGTCGTGGCCGATACGATTGTGTTGGTGGACGAGCAGGTCAATGTGTTGCTGGATGCCGAGGTATTGGCATCATTCAGCGAACTCTCAAACTCCAGGACAAAGTCATCGCGCAGCTTCTGCTGAGCATCGCGTACGCTTCTTACGGAACGAGTGTCGCTGTCGGTGTCTTCCGCGTCGGTTGGTCGATCGGCCATATTGAACTGATCCGAGGAACTGCTTGAAAAGTGTCGCGACTTCTTTTTCCTTCGCGGCGGGGCCACTGGCCCGCTTGAGGTGATCGAATCTGTCGTTTTCGACTGTGCAAGCTTTGTGCTTGCTATCACATCTGGCTCTTGCAACATGATTCCCACAGCAGCTGTTGCCTGCACTGACACTGAGGCATTCGCAGGTAGCCCAGCGACAGTGCCCGAGCCAGTGGGGGCTGCAGCATCCTGCTGCTGATGCTTGGGCGAAACACTTGGGGTACCCATACCAGAGGATGTGCTTGCTGTTCTCGAAGGCTGCGTCGCTTGTTGGTTCTGGGATTGCGTCTGTGCCTGCTGCTGCTGCTGTTGCTGCTGCTTCTGCTGGACATTCAGGGAGGCCAGGGACTCGCGATCAATACTGATGGCTGTGCATGAATTCGAGATTCGAGATTCGAGTATTTTGCTTAGTTTTTTGATGATTTGGTTGAATGTCAGATTCTCTCACTCACCCGAAGGGTCTATGCTGCCCGCCAATATCCGTCCCACGCGACCCAAGGATGTCATGCTCTGTATGCTCATCGCATCGGTTTCAATCACCTTGAACGGATGAGTGGATCGGTTCGCACTGAACATACCATCCGTGGAGCTATTCTGCAATCATCAAATAGCAAATTGAAATAATAAACATTGAGACAAGGCGATGAAGCATCAAAATGTTTACCTGCGAGTCGGGTGTAAGTGTATTTCCTGGATTATCGTCTTCATCGTTTTGCATGCACTGCCGGAGTTCGTGGAAGCGTTGTCTGCCATACTAGACGATTGGAAATGAAGAAAATGTTTATTCTAAACCATTGGAATGCAAATGCAATGCACCCGACACTTACTGCTCCGTGTACTGGCTTGGGTTCGGCGAAGACTACGGGTGCAATATCCTGTTGCTTTAGACGTGCTCCTAGACTGTTGGTGGGACTCCGTGTGGCAGGCGTTCCAGCGCCAATGGGAGTCGCATCGCTGTCCGATGACGCGGCTGCATTGACACGCACCGCGGGCTCGGGAAATATAAACTCCTGAGCCACCTCCGCCGGCAATCTACGACTGGAATGTACAATTTCATTAGTGTATTAGTCAGCACTGCTGGGATATAAAGATTAGAGTGAGGTGCGTACCCAAGTGTGGCATGACGATTGGGCGTTGTGTCTTCGGCATCGAAAAATTCCTCGGAACTGTCCGAGTCGGTCTCCAGCTTACTCATTGCCTTGTTGTGTTGTGGTTGTGCGTAGTCAATGCTGTTCGTTTGTATTACCTAACCACCTCAACCCGTTTCTGTATGCAAATTATGACGAAAGTACTTTTTTCGCTTTTTGTTATTAACTGAACTCCCTTTTGTTGTTGCAAGGCGTTACTCACACTCGAGATGTTTGTCGACTTACGTCGTTTTTGGCTGTCGCGCTAACGCAACAGTCGATTTGTTTAGCATTTTGGAAACATTTGAGGGTTAAAAAACATTTTACCACTATGAATTTTTGTAGAAATCAATTGTTTAATTGAGTTTTTTTTTTTTTGGTATTTAATCGCTTGCTATATCGAATTGGGGATGGTCGCACGACGATGAGTCCGCTGACCAGGTACATCAGTTCGATGACGGGGCTGTCGATATTTTCATGAAAAGGGTATGTTCGGTTTTGCTGTCGATATTTGTTGATGAGAACATAAAATATGATGCTTAGTTAAAATGTGTGGTCGTGTGTAAGAGTTTAACAAATTATATAATGTGAAGCGATGTCACTTTCATGGATTGATGTGTACGTGTAGGTCTAAGTGCAAAGGCAACAGAAGGCTGTCCAGAAATTAGGAACAGAAGGTTGCCAGTTAACCGGATCGGATTTAATTTATTGTGCTTCTTTCTATTCATTACTCCAAATTATCCTCATGTATTAATATTGCCAATTCTCTTAAAAAAAAGGAGGCTCTTGTGAGCAATAACTACTTCAGAGCCCTTTAGAGGCTGACTATCACAGAGAATTAGAGCTTTTCTGTATCTTTTTATATTAGATATTTTTACTGCCGTGAATATACCTGCAAGCTCTACAAAAACATAACTATTTTCAGTCCTGACCATATTGTTACTAGGGTAATCTAGGATTACCTATACCCTATAATATTTCCACTATCGATGTTTTCCCACCCTTAGTTTTCAGCGGAACTACCGATAAAATATTCCAAAATATACCTTCATATTTTAAAAATATGCCGTAATCTTAAATCATTTTCCTCGACTTTGATGTTCTATTTAATATCACCAGCTAGTTAGGATTTTTAGCGCTAAACCTTGAATTTTGTTCGATTTGTCCAACAGTTCTCCATAATATTGATTGACCCTTATGACTTGCTTTTTTAGATTGTTAGGAAAATAGAGTTCACACTAAAAAGGTAAATAGAATATATAGTAGCATAGAAAGTAAGAATGTAACGTAACGATTATATAACTACTTGTTGCTTGTAAGCAACATATAGTTATTGTTCTCACTACATAATTTTAAGTATGTAAGTATATCCAGAAGATATATCCTGCATAAGTGGAAGACCAGTGAAAGTTAATTGTGAGTCGATCCTCATGCTGTTAATATTCTAACTTCATGTCACCGTTTTGCTATACAGTGACAGTCACGCTCTCATCCCCATGCTGGAAATACTCGATTAGACATCGATAGCAATCAGCTGTTCGCAGCCATATTTATTTTTCACACGGCACACTAGTAAACAAACGTACATATTTATGTGCAATTTGTGTACTTGTAACCTTTCGCAGATCTCCGTGCTGCGCTATTAAACGCAAAGTTCTTCTGAAGGGACAACTATATCTCAAAAAGACAAAGATACTCCTCTAGAAAAAGAGAATCGTGCATTTAAATTGTTTAGTGGTTGCCAATATTCTCACACAACGCAACTGCTATTGCGCATTAGATAAATAAATAAGATATGTTTGTTCGCGAACGCAACAGTCACCAGATTCAATGAAAACAAAACAAAATACTTTTCCTTTGTGCCTCATTGAAGTCTCGAGGAGACGAGCACGTTGACGCCAAAAGAGCCAGCATAACGGTAAACAACCGCAATATAATAACTAACCTACGGTAAGGTGATGTTTGACTACATAACTGTGCATTCCCCCCACCCACGCAACACACGCCAAACAGCTAAGTAGCGGCCATATTTGATCATTTTTTGCACACAAGCACTTCAAGTTAATCTTGAAATCTGTGCCCAGCCGATCACTTCAACATTACCTGACATATGTATTACCTGTTATCAACGCTTCAGGCTTACAGACATACATATGTACAAAAACAAAAGCATTGATTTGGTTAGACAACAAAGCGAAGTGAACTTGTTTGGAAAACTGGTTTTGGCTCGAGTCTGGTTTAAACGATTTAGCTAAGAATCCAAAGGGTTATAATGATGAAATACTCTCGTGTGAGATAAATCCTTCATACGTGCATAGGTGTGATGAAAACAAAGAAAATTAATCTTAATTTCATTTGTTCCGGTGAAAATTAAAATACAGTCAGCTGACTGGCAACAGTGTGTGTGTATGTTATCAACACTGTGCTAGCAAATATACATTACAATGAATGGAATTACATGTGTTCGAGCACATATGTATGTATGTACATATTGTGATTAGTTGAATGCCGACGTTATCGTTTAGGGCACCAAATTGTTTATTCCTAAACTCTTACACATGTCCAGCACCAGCACAGCACGTTTCTTCTTGATAATCAGCGCTTGTTAATTTCAGTTTGCTGATTTGTCATGTCTCTTTTCTGTAGTGTAGTGAAGAGTGCAAAATTATCGGCGCCATTTATATGTCAAGCGAAGCGAGAGCAGAGCTAGTCCACTACATTATTCTGTTGTCAATAATGTGATTCATGTAATTCATAATCGCTTAGCAACTGAAATTATCTTAGGCACACACCACATGGTGCAAATACTATATTGTATCGTATACAGCATGGAACCCCCAAGATACAGTTTCCATTCGATCTGTTCTGTTCTGTTCTCTGCTGTCTATAATAATGAAAACGAAAGACGTTGCCGCTCAGAACGAGCTCAGTTACCGGCACGATAAGACGACGGCGACAAATTGTGTGTGTGCGAAAGCTTGGAGCATAAATTTCCGCATTAGTAACAGTCAAGTGTGTTATAGTTATGGTTCTATTGTGTTAACAGTTGAAATTATACAAAAACACCGCTACACCACGCCCATTGTCACCCATTTGTGCAAATGTACTCGTATTACTGGTGCTCTATGATACATAAATATGAACTAAACACTGTGTACATGTTTTAAATACAACATTGAACTGTGTGCAACAGATGAAACAAAATCTGTGAGCCATATACACTCTCCTGTCTCTATCTATTGGAACACTTTATTATAGAGCCTCTGTAGAAACCAAATATACAGATTTCTTGTTCGTCCAATTCCCAAGGTATACAGAGAGTATCCAGAGTACGCTGTTCCATTATCGTTTCTTTGTATGAAAATCAAGCAACGACTGCAAAAGATACGAGAGTGAAGCTATCTCGCTCGGATTTTCTCGCTGCAGCATTTTCTGTCCCTGTTTCGGGCGCTGCTGCTTAAACGCTTTTACAAATGAAAATCACAAAATGATCAGCCATGTCATCAGTGTGATTTCATTTTGCAGTGCAATGAATGGCACTTCAAGAGACGCTGCCAGTGGCCGTTTTTCCCAATAATACGATTGCCGCTTAACAAAGCCACCAACATCAAGTCATGCCAGTGGTATGGGTGGTAGTGACAGTAAGGCGTCTACCAATATCTTATCGCGAAAAAATTGAACAATTTAAGCTTCATCGTGCAGAACAGCAGCAGCAGCAGCAGACACATCAAACAAAACATCAAATTAGAAGCCGAACTGAGAACTGAGACGTGGGAGTACCCAAAAAGCGTATTTTGAAATTTCATTTAGTATCTTTGTGGACACTAAAGGCGACGGATATCCATTTTAAGGATTGCTCCTTCAGTGCCTGTAGATCGAATCTGATTTTTGTGATTCTATTGAGATAATTATAATTTCTTTGTAGTTTGTTGATCATTGGATAAGTGAATGTAAGGACTGTGAAGTGATTTGTGTAATCTTTGCAGTTGATCGAATCTATGATCAATTTGTGACTTTGCTTAACGCTTTCCACCTGAAGTTAGTCTTCAAGCGAACATATACTTACATTGTAACGAAAAACTTAGGTACAAACCTAAACATAGTTGAGTCCATGATCTTGCTCCTTATAGCGTTTGATTGACTGCCGCTCTTTGCTAAATACATCTCTAGTCATACTTAAGCCTTAAAGACTTCAATTTTACACAGACTTGCTTATCGAGCATGACAACAGCAAGCGGAGGGGTGCTACGGCTCCCCTATTGAATGACTGACGTACGTCCATTGTCGATATCTAAGAGATTTTCTCATCAACTTGTCTGTTGATACTGGCAACGCATCTGGGTATTCCTTTACTATGTTGCCAGGTAGCAGAATTCTGGAACTGATTCAGTCTGGCCTGACTTATTTTTTATATTTGTAAATTTCATTAGTTTTTCATAAAAAATTCAAATTTTGGCTTTCAGCTGGGACACAGGCGTGGCACAAATTGAGTTAAGAAGCTAATGGACATGATCAGACAGTGATTGAACACATCATTAACGCACGTGCAGACAAAAAATAAACGACGAACAACCGGAAGAGTCGTCGTCCAGATCCAGAGACAGTTCAGGAAACAGCAGTAGCTGAACACACAACAGACACACACACACACAATGAGCACAAATAGCAGCTTTTTTGATGAACATTTCAATATGCTTTATGCCAATCTGATGAACAATTATGTGCCAGAGTACTTTAAGAGCTTCCAGTATACCCCATGGGTGTTTTCGCTGCTGGGGTCGGTGGTTATCGGCCTCAGTGGCATCTTTCCACTGTTCATCATTCCGACACAGGAGAAAATGGACAAAAATGGATTCAAAGATCGTAAGTGTGATTCACAGAGATGGTTTTTTGTCCTTCCCCTACTTAACGTTGTTTCTTGCTGCAGCTGCGGAATCAAAGTTTCTGCGAGTGCTGCTGAGCTTCGCCGTGGGTGGACTGTTGGGGGATGTGTTCCTCCATTTGCTGCCAGAGGCATGGGAGGGGGATCACCAGAGCTCTACGGGGGACTCCGGCCACCCGTCGCTACGCTCCGGATTATGGGTACTCGCTGGCATATTGATCTTCACGATAGTGGAGAAAATCTTCTCCGGCTACACGAGCGCAGATGAGGAGAATCCCCAGCCAAAGTGCGTGGAAATCGCCAACTGCCTGCTGCGTCGCAATGGTGGCCAGATGCCGGAGGGAGGAACCTCCGAGAGCTGCGGTGGCGCCTGCGACATTGAGGACGTGGACAAAGTTTGTTTCCTGCGTGAGCGGGAACAGAAGTCCAAGGAGCAGAAAGAACAGCCCCGAAAGGTCGCGGGATACCTGAACCTGCTCGCCAATTCTATTGACAACTTCACGCATGGCCTGGCGGTGGCTGGCTCTTTCCTTGTCTCCTTTAGACACGGAGTTCTGGCTACATTTGCCATTCTGTGTAAATATGATTGCAGGGTTCAATTATGCATATATTTTTAATTGGGTTTTCCTTGCAGTGCACGAGATCCCTCACGAAGTTGGGGATTTCGCCATTCTTCTGCGTTCCGGCTTCAGTCGCTGGGATGCGGCACGGGCACAGCTGCTAACAGCGGGCGCAGGACTACTTGGTGCCCTGGTGGCGATTGGAGGCTCTGGTGTAACCTCAGCCATGGGTATGTTCTCGCAAATTAACTAAAATTATCATTTACTGAACTTTCTTATTTATCTTTACAGAGGCACGCACCTCGTGGATCATGCCCTTTACCGCTGGCGGTTTTCTGCACATTTCGCTGGTCACAGTATTACCTGATCTCTTAAAGGAAGAGGAGCGCAAGGAATCCATTAAGCAGCTGCTGGCCCTGGTCTTTGGCATTGCGTTAATGGCCATCATGACGACGCTTTTCGAACACTAACCTAACCCTAGCAAGACGCCGAGCAGCACATCAGAATAGTTTATTCCATAAATGGTTCCAGGACAGGGAGGGCCGTTTTTTGGCTGTCCAAAATTGAAATGAATTTGTTGTACTTTACGGGATGCGCCCAGCCACACGTCCTATTTTGCGTTATGTAATTATAGCCGATACGAATGATATTTAAACTACTGTTAATAATTACGTATTATTGTACCATACGAAACATGAATAGAAACTCTGTTTTTTAAAGAAATCTCTTCTTATTTTCGCAACACAAAAGAACAGCTCGGGAAATTCTTCTATCAAAAGAATCGGTTTTTATTTTTGTTTTCTTTTTGCAAGTCCATTGATCATATGAACGCTTCGCCTGCAAACTTATCTAGGGCCATTTACTTCTTAGACTTGATCTTCTTAAGGTAGAATTCCAATTCCTTGCCTTCCAGAATGTAGCCGTCGGAGCGACCGCACTGACCGGGGCGGGAAGAAATGCAGGCTGGAAGGGAACAGAAAGGAAATGGATTAGCAAAACGAAAGTCAAACAATCCACGCAGAGCATAAGCTTTGTAAATCAGAGTAACTATGACAAGCCGTAATCACACCCAACAGGCTTGCATCGTTCTTAAAACAAGAACTTTGCAATAAAGTTGTTGGATCGCTAAGGATTTTACATCACTTTGGTACAACTTAAAATGAAATAACAAAGAAAATACACACCCAAGATACGGCCAGAAGTGAACTGATCCTCCAAGGCCTGCTCAACTTTGCCAAACTTTTGACGCTCCAGGTACTTCTTCATGACCTTTTCGCTGCGCTTCTTGGTCAGCACGTCGTTCTCATCCTCCTTCTGTGCGTGCTTGGGGTTGCGCTTGCGTCCCAAGGGCAGAACGTAGTGGGATTCGTACCATTGACGGAATGGCGTGGCATCGATGACCACAATGCTGTTCTTCACCAGGGTCTTGGTGCGCACCAGCTCGTTGTTGGATGCATTGTAGACGACATCAGCAATGCGAGTCTTGCGAGCAACACCCTCAGAGGCCCAGGCAAAGTTTCCGTTCTCCAGGCGCAGGGCACGCAGTTTGCTGTTGCCTCCACGAGTGCGCACAGAGTGCACGCGGCTGGAGCCAAGCTGTAATGAAAGAGACCAGCCGTTTAGTATGTCTGCACGCTACACTCCTAGCCAGATCACTTCGTTGAGACAGTTGAGAATCAGTAGTCCGAACATAAAGCTTTTAAATCATCAAACGGTAGCACACGGTTTGGTAAACCATGCGCAATTACAGTTGACACGCGTTAACATCATTTTAGCATAGCAATCAGCTATGTGTACACTTCTCTATGGCAGGGCACAGGTTGAGGGATCGCTTACCTTGGTGTTGGCGGCGGGGCGGCCCAACTCGAACTTGCGCTTCTTGCGGAGCGACTTGCGCTTGCCACCAGTGGAGCGGCGCTTGTGTGAACTATCACGGCTAATACCTGTGAACAATATTAAAACACAAATTAAAACGGGTCCCATTTGCCGTGTTTAAATATCAAGACCATTTTTCACACACGAAAACACGCACGCCAACCACAATGTATGGGCACGGGACTTTGAGGGTTGAAATTATTGAAAAACGCAGCTAAATTCTTGAATTTATAGTCAATCCGTTGCCTGCGCAGTTGCAAACATACTCCTCACACACTTTTACATTGATTCGATGCATTTCTGAGCCAATTTCCTTGATATTTTAACGCAAATCGCACGAGCCCACTTACCCATGTTCGAGTAAAAAGCGAGAAAGAAAGGAAAAGACACGCACAACACCTCGTGTCAAAATTTTAAGGTTACTTTTTTGACATTTGGAACTTATGGGCAACCCTTTGTTCGAGAGCTGACTATCGGCTGCCACTTTTATCATGCGCATTGCAGCACATTTGGTGTTGCTTTGCTGTACATTGTACACGGTACACCACGAACAAAGCGAACTAGAAAACCTTTGTCAAACGGGGTGACCGTTTAAGGTATAATATATACTTTTCAGGATATTTTGATGAAAGGAATGCAATAAAAGGAAGTCGTGAAAACTAGCCAATCTTGTGGAGAACTGATTGATAAATCGGATAAAATTATTGTTTTAGCGTGGAGACTCCTAACTAGATATTAATATTAAATAGAACATCAAAATCGAGCATGTTATCGTATATTTTCGAGGCCCTGACGGTATATTCTATCGATAATTTCGGTGACACTGTTGGCAAAACAATTATTTGTTCTTTGGAACCTAAATTTAATTCAAAAACTGTTCTTTTGAACCTAAGTTTAATTCAAAAACTACCGAATCTATCGTGTCTGTGAATGTACGAGTTTTGAATGCCATTATGGTTGGAAAAAACTTCAAGGCCCTCGCCCAGTTCCATCGCCTAACCGAATACATAGTACAGTGCAAACATTGTGACAAAACACTCTCCTCCAAGCACACCTCATCGAATCTGACGCGCCACTTACTCAGGAACCACAAGCTACTGGCCCGACAGATTTTCGCGGGCGAAGAGGGCAAAATGCTGGCCGAATTGAAGGATGAGCTGGAGGCGGCCTCCGCCAATGAGGACATTCACATGAACATGGACGATCTCGACGGGGATGGCGATGGCGATGGTGAGGGCGACGGCGAAGTTGATCGCGAGGGCGAAACCAAGAGTGCAGTTCGTACGATTATTAGCGGTCAGCAGCAGTTGGATCGGCAGAGACATGAAGCGGAGATGCGGAACAAAGTAATTGGCAAGAACAACAAGCTGTGGGCGCACTTTATCCGAATATCGGAGTTTACTGCCAAGTGCAAGCACTGTGCAAAGACATTATCCTCCAAACACTCGTCGTCCAACTTGATGCGTCACATCGTGCGCCGCCATCACAATCTGTCAAAGACCTTAGACCACTCGCATCATCACTTGATGATGCCCAAGAAGGAGATCGTGTGCAACATTGATCGCAGGCAGATGTCGGATCCTCTGGAAAAAGTCAACTTCGATGATGTAGACAGCATCATAGAGAAGGTGGCGGATCATTTGGAGGACGAGGTGAGTGTAATGTTTTTGTTCCACTGCATACGGCAGCAGTAAATGTAATACATGTTTACTTTAAGGTAACTTCGAACTCGCTCCAGGAACCCTTCTACGAGTACGTCGTCGACAACACCGTGGATGCTGGGGACAAGCATGATTATCCGGAATCGAGTGACATGCATGACATGGTGCAGGCGGACTCGGCATCGCTTTCGGAGACTACCACGCAAATGGACGAAAAGCTGAAGGCTGAGACGATATACTTTAATGAGATGGCCGAATTGGCTAGATCGAAGCGGAGACTCATTGACCTGCAGACCAAGAAGCTGCTTCTCGACATGAACGTTGTGGATAACTAACAATAGTCAGACGGCACATGGGCGGAAACGTGTTCTTAACTTATATAGTAGATGCAATTGTCGGCGATATGATAAATTAAATATATAACAAATTATACCTAACAGTTTTGGCGCCTTTATTGTCCGACAAAGTCATCGCGATACAGGCCAAGGCCGAGGCAGCGATGTTGGTTTGTTATTGTTTTGCGGCAGTGTTTGTTTATTGTTATACCCGGTACTCGAAGAGTAAATAGGGTATATTGTATTTGTGTGAATAACGGTTGTATGTAACGCACAGAAGGAACCGTTTCCGACCTTATAGAGTATATATATTCATATTATATTATCACATTATAGAAAATTGCTTCATCATTCGAAAAAAATTAAAGTAGCATCTCTAATAGTTGAAACTAGCTGGTAATATGAAATGGAATATCAAAACTGAGGAAATGGTAAATTAACCCATTTATAACTCTGTTATATATGTATATTTTTCAATGGTGGGTTGTGTGAGCTAACATTACTTACATTACATTTTTATCGATAATTAAATTTATAATTACATTTTTACATTAATGTTTGCGAAAGCTACCAGATGGGCCAACTATCGTTACATTTATGTTTCTTGAAGAACATGTGAGAAAAAAGGAAGAGGTGAGACGATTTAACAGCTCGGCAACCCACCTCACCTTTTTACAATCTTTTTCAGCCTCATAATGAACAGTGTTACATCTATCGATAATAAACTTCCATCGATAGTGAACTTCCATCGATGATGTTATTCATGTCGATGTTTTTTCCAAGCAAAGTGTTTATTCTCACAGCATTTTTCTTAAAAATTCAATAAAATCAGCGCCAAGGGTAAATAATGGCTACTTTTTCTCCCAATAAACTGCGGCAGTGCTCACGGTTCATGGGCGCACCTTGTACACCAGAAAAGGAGCTGCAGATGTGCGATGCGAACAAAATAAAGTCGTGCGCCAATCCCACTTACGAATGCAGCCAGACGCGAATTGACGGACATGAGTTTTGCATTCGCCACATTCTACGCGATCCCCGTGCCAACTACCGTCAGTGCACACATGTGTATACAAACGGAAGAAAGTGCATAAACGCGGTGCCCAAATATGACAACAAGAAGGAGCAGATACTGACCACGCTATGCTTTGAGCACAACCGACAGACGCAGCTGCAGAAGACACACATAGCCGTGGGTCGTCTCCGGAGTGGCGTCGAGTCCAATGAGACATTGCTGAACAGCCTATCCCATCACTTGAGCGTGGAGGATATCATGATCGAGTCTCCGCAGATAGAGCTCGATGACGATTTGATTGATGTTGTATCGCCGCATGCGGCACCGCTGGGTAAGCCAACAATCAATACAGTACAGCATGGCTGGAGTGGATTTCATGTACATTTCCATTATAGTTCATCAGGATTATCGAAACGAAATAGAGCAAGTTGTAGAAAAGGTGCGACAGCGTCGACGAATTCTGGATTATGCCTCGGACAGTTCCAGCAATGATGGAGATCCGCCATGTGTTAAGAACACCGGCAAGGATATCGACTTGTATGAATCGGACCACGAAAGCAACGACTCTGAAGACGATGATCCACTAAAGTAAGATTATTAACTAGAGTCCAGTGGTGGCGAAGTGCTTTAATTATTACTTTTAGGCATGCCGGCGTTTACACTCGATCTGAGGCTGTTCGGATTGCAGAGTCGAAAGTGGAAAAGCTTCAGGGCCTTTACCGCGAGGAGCTGAGCCACTTGCAGCATGTTCTGAAACAAAGGCGACGACAGTACTTGCACGACATCCGCCGAGAACGGGAAATCTACTGTACGGTCCAATGTTATTTCAGTGTTCTCGTTTCCAGGTTTCTAAGTTTTATTTCTATTTTTGCAGGCAGCATCCACGATCAGCTTAAGGAGACGCCGCACGAGCGCAAGCTCTACGAACAACTAAAGGCGCTCAACAGCTACCATCGTCGGCAAGGAGTTGAAGCGGTTCTCTACAAAAAATTCAAAGAGAAGCGAGCACGGGACACGCTCTTTACAACGAAGTCGGCCAACAATCCCAAGTGCATTTTTACAGAGGGCGGCGTCAAGTGTGGTGAGCGAACGCTGCCATGCTGCAAGCACTGCCGCAAGCACATATTAGAGGATAAACGTCAGGTGCTCTTCCGAGCATGCGGCGTCGAACGAAGCGGTGTTGTGTGCCAGGAGCCGGTAACCAGCATGCTCGAGGACTCGAACTGTGTGCTGCATCTGAGCGTGGTGCCGCCCAGGCGTCAGTATATACAAAAGGTGGGTTAAATTAAAATCTAAGCCTAAGCCACAACATTTTCATCAATTACACTTAGCCTTGAATGTCGCTTCTGCTATTGTAATGATAATTCAAACTGTACATCATATTTTGCCACTCCCAAACAACATTTGAAACTAGTTCTTAGACCTATCCATACATAATTAATTGTAGTAGAACTACGAGTATGTAGGTAAAGATATGTCTACATACATGATACGATTATTGAACAGCTTTTGTGATCGACCATGAATAAATGACCGAACCGAACCGAACCGAACTATCTATCATCTTCTGGTTTTATATGGTAAGATAGACGATGGTTTGTATTATAAGTTAACCATGAGGCTTAGTGTTGTGGAACATCGGAGAGTGTGGAGAGTGTATATATCCCTTAGATGAACCCCCAGAAGTGCACGGCATATTAGTTTTAATCACAATCATCTAACGTAAATCTCATTTTTATAGATTTGCTTTTTATTGACGTACCTACCCTACTATATCTCTTCTCACAGAAATGCGAATCTGAGACCGAAGACGACGATGTCCCTACAACAAGTACTTTCATAACTGAACATGCAGATATATCTGCAGACAACAGGCTTTCCAGAAGCATTCGCAATGTCACCACAGTACACAGAGACGACAGAAAAACGACAGAAATTCAAAATCTCAAAAAACAATCGAGCGCTGCGTAAACCTGTGTGGAAATTTAAATTCAATTCAATTACTGTAGTAGGCCAAGGAAAATGTTGTTGCATATTACATGTGTGTCGTACACCCACCAAATTCGTACAGTTTATAATTATGTTGATTGATTGTTCACAAAACTGATTGATAATTACATGACGTGTGTTTTATTTTATATAAATTTAACAATTGAGATATTTTACTGATAGTTCTTCATTGTTGTTCAATTGGCTTACTTAAAAATTAATGACTGTAATTATTTTGATCTTAGAGCACAGTTATAAAATATCAGTTATCAGTTTCTCCATTCAATAATATCCCTAGTGAAATATTTACAGATTATAATCGGAATCGGAATTCGATGGCAAATGCGCTAACTTATAGTACAATAAACAATTAAAAGTACAAGAAATACATATACATATATCCAGCTAAGTACGGCTCTAGTCTGTCTCTGTGTTTGCTCACAGTTCTGTTGTGGTCTCCACCTCTGACCGATCCAAATCATTCAGGTACGAGAAGCCAATTTGGCCATAGTCTCGCTTTCCAAACGAAACATTCTCATTGGTGCAGCTTATCTGATTGTGGCCATCACCAGTTGATCTGCAGAGTAAAAGTTTATTGGGTTACGATTCACTACCGATGTTTGTGTGTATTTACCGTTGGAAGAGCGGATTGGTGATGGGCAACTCTCCGCTGTACATGCGATTATTGAGTTGGCCGTGACGCCCCAGCGTGCTGCTGTTCATCAAGTCACCATTTGAAGAACTTTCCACAAATGTATTCCCACGTCTACCCATCGTACTGTAGGCATTATTTTTGGCAATGGCCAAATTATTCCGTCCCATCGTGTCCCCATTGGATGCCCCGTTCTGGTAGTGATTGCTATTCTGATGCTTGATGCGCCCCAGAGTCAGGGTGCCGGAGAGAGCACCGTTCGCGTTGTGCGGCGAGCCAAGTGGATTGGCATTGTTGCGTGTGTTGATCTCCAGTGTGCGATTGAATGTGTTTTGCCTGTTGTTTATGGCCAGATTGTTGTTCATGTTGTTGATGTTATTGAGATTGTTGTGGCGTCGAAGTGTGGCAATGGTAGCCGTCGTTGCATCTGAATGTGATGGACTCGACTGACCACCTGGCACAAGGGTGTTGCCGTTGCCATTACCGTTCTCCTTGTGCGTTATGTAGCTGACATTGTCCAGCGAGAAGGCATGGTTCTTGGCGCTAAAGTCCAGCTGCAGATCATCATCACCATCGGGCGGCACTGCCATGGCCAGCATCTGCGTTTCATACTCCTTCATGCTGGCCACAGTCTCACTGACATTCGAAGCCTGCTGGTTGACAATGACGGGGTCATAGCGCGTTGGACTCGTTGAGGAATACTGCCGCATGCGTTGCTTGAAGTTTTTATATCTAAAGGGGGGATGGTTTAGTTATTAACAGTCCTCTATGGCATCTAAGCTACGTACTTTGACCACGAAATGCAAATGTAGATAATTCCAATGGTGCCCAATATCAGAATAATGAGCGATATGGCAATTAGCGTAAAGGGAAACACTTCGTCATCGATGTCTATGGCGGCCTTGATCTAATAAAACAAAGTCAGAAATGTAAATCTATAAATTGTGTCTCTTTCGATTATAGCTTTTACCTTATGAACATGTTCTTTAATTTCTATTGGCACTGAAATGCCATCAGCCTTGGCTCGTGCCAGAGCAAAGTTCAGCTCCAAGCGGGCAGCGGGTTCCAGCAACGTGGTCTCCACAATACTATCATTGCGCTTTAGCAGCTTCTCCGACTTCGGATCGATGAGATAGAACCACACATCCGTTGCCGCTTGGTTCTCGATCACTGTGCCATTGTTGGCCAAATACTTTTGGTTGCTGAAACGCTCAATGCCGCTGACGAGTCCGGTTTTCTCCTCCAGCAGCTCCTCCACCTCTGTGTGGTAGTTGCGCAGTTCACTGGGCGCAGCGCTGGGAAACGACAGTGCCATACGATTGATGTCTGTCAGCTTATTCACTACGATTCTGGCTCTGGTGCGATGTGAGCCCTGCTCTTGTTGGCCATCGCTGTCCCGTGCCTCAACCGAGAAGGTCATGGGAAAGGCTTCTTCGTTTTTGAAATGTCTCGCAGTGCGCAGAACGCCGTCTTCAGTCATCATGAAGAAGCTTGTTGGCTGCAGGGAAATATAAATTATTATTAGATCCCCTTGATCTGAAGATCTAAATCTGCCTTTAAGTTCTCACCAAATTGTCTCCGCTGTCCTCATCGTCGTAGAGCTTATACCGAACCATTCCAAACTTTCCAGAGTCACGATCTGTGGCACGCACCTGCAGAATGGTCGTGTCCACATCCATGTCGGAGGTAACCACAGTGTAGAAGGTGTCCCGCTGGCCTCGCAGTCGATTGAACACAAACTCTGGCGCATTGTCGTTCTCGTCCTGCACGATTATGTTCACAGTGGTCTTATCCTTCAGCGGGTTGACAAAGTACCGATGGGATACAAGACGCAGCTGGAGCGTGTACGAGGATTTGTTCTCGAAATCCAACGACTGAACCAGGACTATGCTGCAGCCATGGTCGGCCAGGCTAAGGTTGAACCTTGCCTCATCGTTGCCATGCACAAACTCGCACCTAAAGTCTGCCGGCCCGCTGGCCGATTGCTTCGAATTGATGATCTGGACAATCTTCAGAGTGCTGTTCACTTCAGTGGACTCGGGCACGCTGGTCGTGTAGCTGTCGTCACTGAAGCCCAGGCCTATATTCTCCGTGCTCAGCATTAAGCCGCTCTGCAGCTTGGTCTCCATGTCCCTTTCGTTGTTCTGCGACAGCGCAAGATGTCGCACATCCACGCGCAGAGGCGCCACCGAGCTCAGCTGAGGTTCGCCCATGTCATAGGCGCGAATGTCCACATGGTACTCTGTGTCCACTTCTTTGCGCAGCTCATCGCGGATGCGCACTGCTCCCGTGTCCGGATCGACCTGAAAGTATTTGGGTGCCTTGCCGCGTCCGACTATCTCGTAGCGGACCACATTTCCGGGGGAGGTGCCATCCCCATCGATGGCCGGCAGAGTGGCTATGATGGTGCCAATGGCCTGGTCATCGTTCACCGTCACCGGATCGGGCACGGTTATGAATCGCGGCGGCAAATCATTCCGATCCTCGACATCCACAACCAGCTGAAGTGTGTCGCCCGGCCCATCCCCGTCGTTCTCAATGGTTCCAATTGTCAGCTGGTGCTGCCGCTGGTTCTCATAGTCCAGTCCCTTGATTGTGTGCACCTCTCCCGAGGTGGCAGACACCTTGAACAGCTCCGCATCGCCCTTGCGTAGCACGTAGGTTATTTCTGGCATTGTATCCGGATCGAAGGCCTGCACCGTGGCCACCAGGAAGTTCACCTCGTTCTCCGGTATGTGCACATCGATGCGAGCATCGCTGAACTTTGGCACCTCATCGGGAATGTCGTGCACCATCACCGTCACACTGGCAGTGCCCAGGCGGGCGTCGGGCGCCCCATCCTTGGCAGTCACCACGAACTTGTACTCATTCAAGCGTTCATAGTCCAGCTGGGAGGCAGTTCGCAGCTCTCCGGAGGTTCCATTGATGGTAAAAGGCACATCCGTGGGTATGGAGTAGGTGATCTCTGCATTGATGCCCTCATCCGCGTCTGTGGCATGCACTACGCCAACGAAAGCATCCGCAGCGCCCTCATCCACTTGGAAGACGTACGGCAGCGTGGACACATCAAACTCGGGATTCTTGTCGTTGATGTCAGTCACCTTGATGTTGACTGTGGCGCTGCTGGAGAGTCCGCCACTGTCCTCGGCTCGCATTATCAGTTGGTAGCGCGTCAAGCTCTCTCGATCCAATTTGCGGATGACAATGATGACACCCGTCTCCTGGCCCACGGCAAACTGACGCAGGTCGTTGCCGGATATGATGGAGTAGACAACGGCATCGTTCTCCGGATCGTCTGCATGCACCACGGTGACTGTGGAGTTGATTTCCGCACCCTCGCTAACCTGCACCTCGTAGATGGGCTTTTGGAAGCGTGGCGGCTTCGTGTTTGGTCCCGGCGTCACACTCACCTCCACAATGGCCTGCGAGGAGAGTCCTCCCACATCTGTGGCCTGCACCGTGATGGAATATTGCTCCCCAGCCAACAGTCTTCCGTGGGTACTGATCTCACCCGTTTGCTCGTCGATGGTGAACTTTTGAATGCCATTGTTGGACACGTGATAGATGGAGTAGGCGACCACGGCATTCGGGCCCTCATCGTTGTCGGTGGCCGTCACCTGTGTGACCAGGCGACTCTCGCTCTGATCCCCGGTATTGGCTGTGATCGAAATGGGTGAGACCATTGCCAGCTTGGGCGCATTGTCGTTGACATCCCGCAGATGCACTGTGAGGCTGAGTGGGGCGCTGGCAGCGTTTGTGCGCGGCTCCCGGGCGACAACCTGAAACTTGAAGCGGCCCGGGGCAGGCGGATCCCGATCGAGGTTGTCTTCGTTCACCACCAGAATCCCTGCACTGGTCACATTAAACGAAGGCGTCGTCAGCTCGTAAATATAATCGGGCTTTGGATCACCCTCGCCCAAGTCTGCGTCGGTTGTTGTGAAGGATATGGGATTGCCATTTGCATCCAATACTCTCGTTCCTATAGCGGAGTTTTCATCCACATAGCCCTCGGTGGCAGAGGAGGATATGGCCGGGGGATTGGCATCCACCGGCTTAACCGAAATCGTCAGTTTGGCCGTGGTGAAACGTCGCGGTGCAGGTGAAATCTCCTCTGCGCGCACGATTATGTCATATCTCTTGGCGGTGGACGTGTCAATGGCTTTTGTTTGCTTCAGCACTCCCGTTTGCTCATCGATCTCAAAGTAATCCTCATAGTTGCCAGGCATTCCGCTGGCAAAGCTGTAGCGTATGCGCGAGTTGATCGTATCCAGATCCACCGCCTGTATTCGCTCTGGCAGCACATTGAGCACACCCAGCAAGGAGCCTGCCGGCACAGACGCCGTGTACTCGGGGTTTATGCAGGCGCCCTCGAGCAGCACACAGCCACGATATATAAATGATGGATCCAAATCGTCCGAGTCGGCTATATTCACCGTTAAAGTGGTGGTCGAAGAAAGTCGATGTTCGGTGTTGCGTGCACGATCCTGAAAGTGTAGCGAAAAGAGTGGCCAGATGTTGAGACTCGCATTAAATGTTTAGTATTTTTTGTTAACTTACCGAAGCTACGATGGTCACATAATAGCGCTGAATCTTCTCATAGTCCAAAATCTTTGAAACAGTAACCTGCACACAAATACTCGTATTAATGTCAGCAAAACTGTTAAGAAATAAACTTACCTGTCCCTGGTGTGGAAATGATATGGCAAAGGTGCCATACCCGTCAGCACTCGTGAGCTTCTCATCTTCGGTTGAATTGATGGGTTTATTTGCAATAAAATACTCTACCAGTCCGTTTACACCTGCATCTTTGTCGAGTGCTTGAATGTTGCGAAAGATTGTAGTTCCCACCGGTGTGCTCTGTTTAAAAAATAGAGTTTAAAGTTGCAGTTAAACGGAGATTAGTACGAGCTGGAGTCACTTAATACACTCGTAATTAGTTACAGAGTTGAATTTGGCATTCGTTTAACTTTGTTCATTTAATTAGTGCATTCCAAAGATGTTTTCCACTCGGCAGACAGACTCCCTCGGGAGTGCCGCTTTAAACGGCAAGTGCATGCCAAAAGCATCCTCTTCGGAGTATATTCCATGTGGACTGACAGACTGCCATAATGGGAACTGGAACTTTGTTTAACACACATTCTCGTATGTATTTATGGGAAAACAAACTGGCTAATTATTCGCTGAAGTTGAAGGGTTTTTCTTCAGCTAAAGTTAGCTTTATTGAAACACCAACAAGCAACCAATAAGCCGGCAAAAATAAACGATTTTTGATGGATAAGAAGTTAAAGCCATAAGCGAATACACACAATTGGCTCGCCGCATCACGTTGCCAAATGAATTATTTATGAATAAAATTCCCCTAGGTATGGTTCACATTGTGAATCTCGTTCTGTACATATTTGAGTAAGTTTATTGCAAGCTCATTGCTTATTTCTGTGCCAATTGTATGAAGATCAGAATGGTACGAGCATAGTGGTAGTCCTTGAAGAAGCTTATAATTATTCAGAGTGATGTATGGGGTCTTAAAAGTGGAGAACTAGTGGAACGCTTCTCTTTTGTTTCGTGGCTGGTGCTTTCTAATATGTCAACTGTTCTGTAATTGAACGTTATTAGTCTAAATACGTGATTAACAGACGGAAATACTATTGTAGCGTCTGGTGGAAGGTGGATGGTGGATGGTGGATGGAGCCTTAGATGTGATGTTGTGTCTCTACATGCAATTGTTGCTGTTGCTGTTGCTTTTGGACGTTGTTGGGGCACGGAGCAACATGAACATGCTGCATCAACATGCGACGTGGACAACACATGCTTGTCTGCCACTTCATTAGTGTCTTGTATGTTGTTGCTGGTTTGCTGGCTTTGCCATCGAGAAGGCTATGCACATTCACCTGACTCGGACTCGGACTTGGACTCGCTGTCTCTACCTCTGCCAGCAGTGGAGCATTTGTGGCAACAACTGTGGCTGGTACGCGAACGCGAACTGGACTGGTAGCTCGCGAACGTTGGGGAGGGGAAAATGTAGCAGGCAGGAGGCAGGAGGCAGACTCAGAGGCACACAGAACAGGCAAAACTTTGGCGCTCCAAAAAGCTGTTCGTGTCTTGAATGGTTGAAATCTACTTACCTCGGGTACGGTGACCTCATAGGGCGTGTTCATGAAACGGGGCGCATTGTCATTGATATCCGACACGCGCACAATAATGGGAATGTTGCGCTTCTTATGCGACGATCGAATGGTGCAGGACACCTACAAAAGAGAAATGGCGTAACACTGTGAGTTCGGGTGCATCATCATCGGAGGTTCGTTAAACAATCCATTACGGCTCTTAATTCATCTGGACTTGAAGACAAACGCCGCCTGGGGAGCTCGACGCGACTCACCTGGAACACAATGTGACTGAGATTCTCCTCATCCCGATCCAGGGGCTCCAGCAGCTGCAGCCTCTTGCCGATCAATTGAAATGTTGGCTGTCCCTTTGGAAAAACTAGATCCAGATATATTTCCGTCTCCGGATCACCAAAGATGGGCAGTTCCGCGGGAGTCGTTTGCTGACCAATAACTATAGCAGATACACAGAAACATAGACACATAAATATTCATTAAAGTTGGTCTAAATTGATGTTTTTATGCTAGACACCAGAGCAGTGGAAAGGAAAAAAGAACTAGTTGATGTAGCACCACCAAGAGCGAAGAGAAATGTATTCTTTCTCTTTGAATTGAGGGTTGGAGGAGCAGTCAGCGTAGAGCATCGCAACGGTTGGCAAAAAATATGCGTTTATATTGCCTGTACATACAAATCGGTACATCGGTATGTATGAGACATATGAACGTGCTGTACGAATTCGTGTTAAGCGGCAGCTGCGTCTAGAAAGCCAGATTTAGATCTTGCACAATACGAATACAAAGTACGAAGTTCGAATATGTACGAGTATGTACATGTTTATATGTAGAGCAGTGATCGGATTTGTGAGCTAAGGCCACATATGAATATTGGAAAAATTCACAGTAGCTCCGCTCGTATCGCCAGTGTTGATTTTAGGAGCATTCCTAAGGAGCACGAACATTATGCATCCACATAGGTACATGTTCGAGTGTTATGTTTTATTCTGATAATCTGATCAAGCAGTTGGTTCTGCAGAGTCTGCGCTCCGCTCTGCTTGTAAAGCATACAGGTACAGGTATCTACATAGTAACATGTTCATGGACACGTATGCAAGTTATAATTATGGCGTTGCACCTTTTGTGCCTGTAGACTATGATCTTAAAAGTTGAGGCTTTGTCTCAGAGCAGAGCAGGGTTGCATTGCATGTGTCCGCCTCTTTACTGCTGTGTTGTTTTGTGTTTAAGCGTCATATAAAGTGACTTCAGGTTTTTGAGGCGTCCAACACAAGATGTGGCATAAAACATGCAATTTTTATGCTAGTAATGCCACAACGACGTTCAGGCCCTTCTCCCAGAAAGCCACTCCATTATTATAGTAAAATGTTTGCAAGGCACAAAAAGGAACACTCTGCTGCACCTCTAATAGGTGCACAAACTTTCATAGAAATAATTGCTGGAATTTTGAGATAAATCAATTTGAAGCTTTTGCTCAAGTAATGCCTGTAGTTCCACTGTAGTTAGTTACTTTAATCTATTCTTAATTAAAAAGTAATTCTTACATGCTTCCCGACTTTCTTCTATGTCCAGAATTATATTCGTTTGGCCCGTTTCCACTTCGCACATTTGGGATTTGCCCAAAACAGCTGAGGACAGCAGTATTAAAAGACCCAAAAAGCCAAGTTCCTGCATTGCTGTAGACATTTTATCTGTAAATGAAATTAAGTATTATTTAATGGTTTACATTTACTTATTGTATGTATATTATATGAAGCTAAAAAGTGCCCTCTTTATATACTTATATTTAAATGAGATTGTGTGTATGCCAAGATGGCTTCCCATTCCTTAAATGGTGTGAAATCAATATGCAATAAACATTTAAACCAAACTGGAACCTGGCGTTGTCTCTGCGCGTTGCTTCTCTCCTCTACTGGGCAATTCTTCTACTCTCCCATTCGCTCTGCTCTCCACTCTCCACTCTCCAATCCTACCCAACCCATCTGCATGTTTATATGGGCATGAGGAAATCATAGATGCGAACGCATGGAGCAAAGCGTAGCGGTAGTCTGCTCCTGCTGCTGCTGCTGCTGCTGCTGCTAGCTGTGTTTTTCGTGAACGATCAAAGAAGATTGCAGGACACAGCTCTAAACTCTTAGTAATTCCATCAGTAGGTGTCTTGGCCATCAGCTGCATACTCTAATTATTTCACCAACTAAAATAAAACGTAACTAAAACCTCAAAATCGTGTGCGCCCCTATCATGTTTCTCCCGTTCGCTGGCAGCCACAAAAACTACTTGCAGCACAGAGTGCCAGTGCCAGTGCCAGTGGCAGGCAGTCATCAGAGTGGAAGTTCACAAAAGTGCTAAAAATGAAACCGCATTCCTTGACTCTGGCCAGTTGCATGAGAAACACAAAAAAAAAAAAAAAGAGAACTAAACTCTTATAAAATGAGGAACCGCGCGGGCCACTAAGCAAACAACTGCACTTACTGGCGGTAGCTCCTAGTGGATGCTTTGGTGGTGCTTTCTGCACAGGTGTACATTCTCTCTCGCGCAGTTGGCCATCTCATCAAGCGCCTAAACGGCGGCTCCAGACTCCACTGCCTGTTCGAGTTCGAGTTGTGGCTTAGATACAGTTATAAACGTATTTCCAAGCCACTTCTTGAGCTATGATCTGTATGTATTTATGTATGTAAGTATGTATCTTGTGCTATGCTATCCCTATGCTGCTTCCCGCTGGCTTTCTCTTGCTGTAAATCCGCCAGTACCAGTACCAGTACCTGTACCTGTACCTTGCCTGCCTGCCTGCCTGCCTGCCTGACTCATTCACCCATTCACCGCAGACTTGTTGGCCACAGGAGCACAGCTTGCGTATCTCTTCGGCATTACTCCTATTAGAACGCGAATTTAATTGTTTTATAGTGGAAAGAATGGTAGTAGAATGGTAGAACACAAAGAAGTACATAAACACTTCCTACGAAACAAATACATAAATGTCCGTTGAGTCTATGTAGCTGTGGGAAAGCTATGTATCTGCTTTTGGCTTTGGCTTGGCTCGCCAAGTTCGTGGCATTAGATCATATAGTTTTTAATACCACAACAATAGATATGCAAAGCTACCGAAAAAGCTTTTGCAAACAGATACAACTGGCTAGTTTTTGAGCAAAAAAGATGTTTAGTAAATGTCATACGAAGCTTTCCTACCATCTGTATTTAAGTCTCTCAGTTTTTCTAATAGATTGTTGTCCATTAACCATTTTCATTTAGTTAGAGGAGAAAGCCTCTTCAATACAAATTCGCATAATATAAAATACAATGAAAATCATCAAACAATTACTCATCTCAAACAGTTCTTGATGTGAAATCATCTCCCAAAGTAAGAGTGAAAGTTTGAACTTTAAACAATGTGCTGCAACCCCCCTAATTATCGCCCTGTTGCGCTATCCATATATAAGTTTATTTTTTCTATAAACGAGGATGGGGCTGTTATGATGGCTTGGCACAGCATCTCCCAGTGCACAAATCCTTTAGTTTAAAGACTATTTGTCTATATAATATAGCTTTCACTGTGCATACCTGTCGCACAAGAGCCAAAAACAACATGCGAGTAAATGAAGCTACAAAGCTGTTGAATATGCCCAACCGGAAACCTATAGAAAAAGCCGAATGTGCCAAACTGGTTTGCAAAATAAAACGAAAGCCGAAGAATTGCTTTAAACGCTGAGTGCTGCCTGGTGCTTGCTGCCTGCTGGCTGCTGGGTGCCCAGTGCTCAGAGATACAAGAAACCTGTTGCTTATTGATGCTGTTTCTGCGAACATTTTCTAGTTTTGAATGTGGTACACAATACGTACCGAACCGAACTTAAATCTGAAATCTATTGGAATGCGAACGATGGTTGCCACATTGTGCATACATATTTGTACATACATATGTCTGTATGTGCACCTTTATGCCTGTGCAAGTATCTATAAAAAATTATTTCACTTTATCAATATAATTCTGGAGAGCCTATGGCTATGCACTGCCATAATGCATATATATCTCTACATACATACATACAATCAAGCATACATATCTTCACATGTTCAATACATCGTCTTGTGCGATTATGTGGTTTCGGATGGGTTTCGGGTTTCGGATCCCCCACCACTTTAATGATATTTTAAGTGTAAGTGGAAATGTCTTGCCTACTCGAAAAGTAGTCGTAAATGGTTAGCAGTAAGCAGTCAAAAATCAATCTGTGCCTCATAATCTGACAAGCCTCAAAATAGAAAGCGAAAAAATATCATTTGCTAGGCGCAGACTTTGGTACTTGCGAGTCTGTCATCTTCAGTTGGAGGCAGCGTTTCGAAACGTGACTGACTAAAGGTCAAATTATCCAGTTGGTAGCCGTTGGGTTGGGAAGCAAAATAAAACCACAAGCATCCTTGCTACACACGCTAACCCTAGCTAAATTAACTCGTGGAAGTAACAATTAAGGCTGGCATTTTCCCCTGGCTAATTTAACATGTGCTTCCGGTGTAACATTATTACTTTGTGCATGGAAGATAATGTAAGTCAGGATGGATTTTGTAGCAGTGCTTGGCCCTATGATTAAAAGGTACATGTGTAATGGGTTGGCTTGCTTTCGTGTAACTTTTGCGCACATTTATAGTGGCAATCAGAAGGATCACCTCAGCTGCTGATGCTGATCAATAATAATTCGGAGCCGCCAATAGCGGATCACTTACATATGCACTACGATCGCATACCTTATGGGAACGGAAATGATTAGACTCTTTGTTAGGGTAAAGGTACGACTAATGGTGACAAACATATTTTTAGTTTCGTTGAACAAAAAACTACAAGTAATTCAGGGAAGGCTTTCTGCAGGTGGTAAGGTTGGGTATTAAAAAGGTTTTTATTTATACTTGAGTGTGCACTATACAGTGAGGGTTCTTATAAGATTTCTTTATTATTTGTTTTTTGTTCTTGCTGAGTTAAGACAACCTAAGAAGATTGCCATAAGGTCGATGTCTTCTACTCTCAAAGAGGAGCGATAGGTTATGATAGCAAAAAAGTGTAGAAATATAAATAAAACTGTCAAAGACACTATGCCATATTCTACTCATAACGTAATACTCTCAACGCTTATTAATTTCCAAATTAAAGTCAGCTTCTTGTACTTACCATTTGCTTTCAAGACGTTGTTGGCGTTTTTTTTCAAAATGTTGCTAGAAGGCCGTTGAGTTGAGTGTATCCAAGAACCATTTGTTTGAACAAGAAATGTTGAGCACACGATTGAGGGGCACAATTTTGTTGGATTGTTTCTATTACATTTCGGAAGTATCAAAATCACGTACAGTCCGACTATAAAGAACACACAAAAACACGTTGAAACACAGGCACGGCACGTTTAAGGAAATATTTGTTAGCATTCCGAAATTATGGAGCCATGGATTTTGGCATTTTGATGATGATCTGGTTGTGTGTGTGTGCATATAGTAATATGGATTACACACTCATACTAGTTTGATATCCCGCGAAAAGCAAACAAAGCTGCGACTGCTTCGGGTTCTGCTGCTGCTGCGGCTGCGGCTGCGGCTGCGCTCACAAATATGTGTGGGAGATCGATCGGCCGTGTGGTAGCATGTGGTAAAAGTAGTGTGACAAGTTGACGACGGGGAGGCTGACGGTTGCTTTAAAAAATCTTTACATACGTGACCTCATTTGTCGGACATTTATCGGAAAACTGTTTAGGCTTAGGGCCATTTCTCATGGTATTTCCATCGAAAATATGAGCACTGCACTTGGCATAACTTATAGGCACATTAACCTTAAAGACTCTTTATTTATATTCACGAGCACCATTAACACCGATTTGGGGATCCTTTTATGCGTTTTTCTTACGATTATGAACACTAATGATGAGGAATGGAATGCACACAGCACATCGCCAGCATCATTTATATTTAAATGGGCTTTAGTATATCACGAAAGTCCGTCCATTGAGTGTCTGAACTTTATAAACATCTTAGGAGATAACTTTTTATAAAATTAGCTCTTGGGCATATTCATACCAGCGCAGAAACCGGTATCGCGGGAGCCACCTAAAAGACTCGTACCCTATCCACATAGATGTGTAGGTACGTATGTACGTCTGCAGGTGATCACAGTGCGAACGACACGTGAGAACGGTGCAGTAGATGCCACAGGTATGGGCGATATTCGAGCGCTGCTGGGGCTTCCAACTGAACGTTGTTGAGTTTTCTTCATTGAGCGGCTTCACTGAGTGGATTGTTGAGTGTCTTTGGGTGTTTGTTTGTTTGAATGGTGCGAAATAACAATCGCACACAAAGTGGAGAGAGAAACTTCTGCAGGGAGTATGCAAAAAGCAGGTATGGGCGAACGAGTTGACATACAACTTGTATGAACGAAACTCCACCTCGTGCTTCTACCTGTCTTGCGCTGGTCTGAGCCGCACTCAACTCACCTCACATTCAACTCAAACTCAACTCAAACTCAACTCGTGGAGCTGAAACTACGTAGGCAATCTCTTTTGCGGTAAAACTGGTTTTTGGGACTAGTTTAACAGCTGATACAATGAATACACATAGCTGAAAACAAACATACAAATGTTTGAATGTATGTACATATGCATGTACATATGTCTTTTCGTATCCGAAAGGTAAAGCCAATGTACAGGTACACTGTGATCTGCAGGTGCATGTACGTATGTATGTATGTACGTCTGCATGAATGTATGTTTGCTTGTTGTCTATGAGCGGCCTGTTAACTTAAAGTAAATAAAAAGACCACCATGTTTCATTTCCATAACAGTAGACACCAAAACCAGTTTAATGTTTTTACTTTGTTTTTGTTTTTAGTTTTTAGTTTTAGTTTACATGTTTCCAGCTATGATAAATGTTTCTTTTTACAAACATTTTTGGCGATGCTGCTGCGATTTTTGTGCAACAAACTGTCGCTGGTTGCTTGGTCTCTCTTGTTGCACACTTGCCCGACCGGGCAATGCATGAATGAAGTTCAGTCAAGGGGGCAGCAGACAGCATTTTTGTGCATTTATATAAGTGGATACCCACTCCGTGACACTAGTCAGACATTTGCATATTCAATTGCATTGTATTAGGACAATGTGGCAGCCTTTTGGAGCTTACAGAATGTCTTAGATTGAATGCATTTTTAATTATCCAATAATTGCACGCAGTAACGAGATCTTTCTCAAGTAGTTTGTTGGCAAGAGAGTAACAATTTGTTCTGATTTATTATCTTAACACACGGAATGGGAGAAAGTGAGAGAAACATAAACTAATTTAACTGTTTGTGGTCCGCACCGGATACAGAATAATGAAGTCAATTCTCAGCAGTAAAGATTTATTAACACTTAACTTTTAAACATGGCTATTTTTGATTATTTATGTTCATTTAAAACACAAATTCAAGCTAGAATTCCTCTTACTGGAGTTTTATAAGCTTTTGACAACGTCAACCCTCTTTTGCAGCTTATTAGTAGTCCCATCCGGCTTCGGTTGCCTGGCAGATAGTCGGGCGGAGGGCCATCAAGAATTGCTTGACTGACACCAATATGCATTTAGCCAACTTTCCGCATGCTCAAATTACAATTCAAGGGAAGCTCTTTTGAAATCCATTCCATTCCTCTTTTATGTGTACATATGTATGTATGTATGTATGTATGTAAGCATGCATTCTGCTCAAGCTTGACCACAGAGTTAGAATGCAGTATAAGCATAAATGCTTTACTTACTGACTACTCACAAATAATGTTGTAGATCAGCACATAAAACGCAACCAGTGAATATAAAGCAATCGAGTGAACTTTATGGGATTTACATGCAAAGTTGATCAATGTTGTATCCGAATAGCAAAGCTATTTGCACCCAAAAGTGAACAACTTCTTATTGTCTTTTTTGCATCGTAAGCCATCGTCAGTTATCTTGCCATGCCGGATAATTGCAAGAGGCAAATTTCTTAATGGTTGGGTTGGTCTCCTCTCCCACATGTTAAATTGGGATGCTGTTTACGTTTGCTTTTAATTGCTTCACAAGTACCACTGCATTCCCCCTAACTACTCGTACAAATAACAACAACTGCTCGAATCGAAACTAAGGCGCACCAAATAGCCCAGCCAGAAGATGCCATGCCATGGCATGGCGAACAATCAGTTTGCCAAGATCAGCTACTCTGTCCGGCAATGGTTGCATCCATACGTTATTACATATGTACAAATGTACACGAATGTATGTACATTCAGTTGCGGTCAAAAAAAGGAGTATGGAGTGGAAGGGATCTTTTATAAGGTGGAAATTCAATCTACCATTTACAAGCGCAGAATATCTCTGATGCACACGTTATGTGGCTTCTTACTTATAGATATACATACAGAAATACATATATGTATGTACATACATGCATGTGTACATACTTACATATTGACCGCAGCAAATGCCATTAACATTTCTTAATTGCATCAGATTCTGATGCAGATTATGAGTAGGCAGCCATCGCATGTTCACCACCCTCTAGGAGAGACCGAGACACTAGTCAATATTTCTGGTTAAACATTTTCGAAGCTTAGGCAAATAAACTCTGAAGATAGTTAGTAGCTTGCACTGCTAAATCCAACTTGCTGGTGCGCATAGTTCAATGAACCTGCAAATCTAATTAGTTAATTTTTCATTTAAAGTTGGCTTGTGTAATCTAATTTGGCGAAACCACCAAATCTTGCTGCAGCCAAAACGAACCGGCAACCAGCCGACCAACCAAGCAACTGCGACGCTATTAAAGGCCAACAATTGTGGCATGTCCTAGTGACAGCAGCCCCACCAAAGCAAAATGCAATAACAACAGCCACGAGCGACTGCAAGCTACGTGCCGCAGCAGTTGTTGCTCCTTCATTATTATGCATTAAGCATACGATATGTTGTACAACTTGGACACAATAGAAAAGGGGGTATATGGATTTTGCTATTCGTTTTGTCACTGACAATGACTAAGTATTCAAGAGATAAAGATAAGATTTTGGGCAGACTAAATCTTATTGAAAACCAATAACCAAACAGGTTAGCAAGTGATTTGATCTCTTCTGAATGGCCAAGAGTACATAGGCTTCGGCGAACAAAGAGCAGGCCTGGCCTTTCCTGTTTTCCGGCATTTGGCGGCTGCTATGGTCAATCTTTGTTTTTTTGTGGGATGTCCAGGCTCCTTGGTAACTGCGTGCAATTCGTGGGGGTTCGTATGTCGCTTAAAAATTTTAATTGCCTTTGCGTGTTTAGAAAACTTACACGCTGTATGTTCTGCGTACCGCAGCAGCTGGCCCAATGGCACCAAAGGCTGTGCTTTTGCTTGGCTTTTGCAGCTAGAGTATCTGCCACGGGGATATGATAGGGAGAATTATCTGATATTTATTTTCACACTTTCAAATGTAAGTACCAGCCATAATAGTTGCATGCTTATAATAAAAGCAAACACTTCCTCCGGTGGCATTCATCTTTTTCAATTAATAACTAAGATTGACCAAAAGTTACTTTAAGAGCAAAACGTGGATCAGTATTTAAGCAGTTCATCAGTTCATTCATTCGCACATATGGGGCTAATGATTGGGAACGACAGTTCTGAGCCGAAACCCGAACCTTGGGCATCAGTATCCTGCTTCTGCTTCTGCTTCTGCTCGGAGTGCTTCTTGATGGTTGGAAATGCCACAACGAAGTTCGTCACACTATTGCTTTGCTCATATTGGTCCATATTAAATTTAAGGAGTGGCGCCATCCATCGCAAAAATAAACCATGAAACAGTCGAGTTTACATGTAGAAAATATAAATACATACTACGTATGCCCCGATAGACATAAATGTATCGAAATTTAACAGTTATCATGTTAGTTAACAGAGCGTGCAGTCGAGTGCTGAATGTTGAATGTCCAATGTAAAGTCCCATGTTAAGTTAGCGCGGAAATTCAATTCAAATTCAAATACCAGCCATAATAGTTGCATGCTTATAAAAAAAGCAAATACTTCCTCCGGTGGCATTCATCTTTTTGAAGTAAGAATAGTTGACCAAAAGTTACTTTAAGAGCAAAACGTGGATCAGTATTTAAGCAGTTCATCGCATTCATTCGCACATATGGGACTAATGATTGGGAACGACAGTTCTGAGCCGGAACCCGAACCTTGGGCATCAGTATCCTGCTTCTGCTTCTGCTTCTGCTCGTAGTGCTTCTTGATGGTTGGAAATGCCACAACGAAGTTCGTCACACTATTGCTTTGCCTGCGGCTTACAATTGGTCCATATTAAATTTGAGGAGTGGCGCCATCCATCGCAAAAATAAACCATGAAACAGTCGAGTTTACATGTAGAAAATATAAATACATACTACGTATGCCCCGATAGACATAAATGTATCGAAATTTAACAGTTATCATGTTAGTTAACAGAGCGTGCAGTCGAGTGCTGAATGTTGAATGTCCAATGTAAAGTCCCATGTTAAGTTAGCGTGGAAATTCAATTCAAATTCAAATACCAGCCATAATAGTTGCATGCTTATAAAAAAAGCAAATACTTCCTCCGGTGGCATTCATCTTTTTGAAGTAAGAATAGTTGACCAAAAGTTTCTTTAAGAGCAAAACGTGGATCAGTATTTAAGCAGTTCATCGCATTCATTCGCACATATGAGGCTAATGATTGGGAGCGACAGTTCTGAGCCGGAGGCTGCCGAGTCTCCACTGCCACGATGCGCGCCTTTTACCGAACCTTGGGCATCAGTATCCTGCTTCTGCTTCTGCTCGGAGTGCTTCTTGATGGTTGGAAATGCCACAACGAAGTTCGTCACACTATTGCTTTGCCTGCGGCTTACAATTGGTCCATATTAAATTTGAGGAGTGGCGCCATCCATCGCAAAAATAAACCATGAAACAGTCGAGTTTACATGTAGAAAATATAAATACATACTACATATGCCCCGATAGACATAAATGTATCGAAATTTAACAGTTATCATGTTAGTTAACAGAGCGTGCAGTCGAGTGCTGAATGTTGAATGTCCAATGTAAGGTCCCATGTTAAAGTTGGCGCGGAAATTCAAAGAGCTGTCCAGGCCTGGAAACACATATTGCACCCCTCGACAGGCAACCGGGGTATGCAAATGGCCGTCACTGAAAGAGATAAACCTTCGCTTGTTTCCGTTTCATACAGTAGAAGACAAATGATTTTCTGCATGCAACTTTCATTTCATCAAAATGAATTCTATATTTATTTGCCAAAACAATATAAGAATAAACAGTTTGAAAGAACACTGAAAATGTCGAAAGACTTGATTGAAACGCTTAACTAAATATGGATAGATAGATATTTGTTGTGAATGCTGCGCCTAAAACAAAACTAAAACTAATTTACATAAAGAACCGGGACGAACGGGAAAAACAAAGTTGAAAAATGACCGAAATTGATCGACACAAATAGATAGACTGACAGATTAATTGATAGAAATGCACAAAATATAGCCTGACTGAAGTTAAGTTAAGAAATTGGAAAGGATGTTTACAATTATTATTATTTGTTTGTTGTTTTCATCTTACAGCTACAAATGTGTCGTTTAGAAATTGAAAACATTGAAATTGTTGACTTACATTGCTAGTTACATTTATTGTTGTTGATTTTTTTGTATTCATTTTTCTCATTTTTCTCTTTTGATGTGTAAAACGTGTTTAAAAACTTTTTTTGTCGTCACAGCTGGAAAGTCATAAAAACGACCTCAACCCATCACCAAAAACCTCTTCGATTGCGAGCTTTCTTCAGGCAAAAACTATGAACTTTTTTTTTGTATTCAAGATTTAATTTTCTTGCTTGTTTTTTTTTTCTCTCTGGCTGCAAATTTCTCCTCCTTCTTCTGCTGTTGTTTGTGTAAATTGTTTGTAGAAAAACATTAAGACTAAATTACACAAATACATACACATGCACACACATGTACATACATACATACATATACATATTTTCTTCCGTTCTAGGCAGTTAACGTGGCTACAAAACTATTCAAATATGGTTAAGGGTTTATGTTTGGGCTCCGTTCTCGGGTGGGTTGTGGTGGGGATGCTCAGGGTTGGCTACCTCTTTGATTCTTCACTGTAATTTCAACAATTTGGACGCACATGCACACAGTTACAATCGCCAATTCCGCTTCCTAAGCGATCTCCGACCAGCCGAGCACCTGCTCCAACTGATTCTCGCTGAACTCGAAGCCGCCCTCGCTCATGATGTAGTCGTCGTTGCAGAGGTCCATCATGGCTGGGGTGTGCAGCAGGGGATTGCTGTTGTCCAGAAACGATATCGATGTCTTCCTGCTGTGGGTGGTGGGGCATCCTTCGACCTCCTCCTCACCCAGCACCTGTTGTTGCTGCTGCTGCTGCTGCTGTGGCAACACATCGAGAGGCGGCGGAGCAGACTCCTCGCTATGGCTGACGTGCAGCCGCTTGCGTGGCGACACAGAAGCACCCTCAACGAGGCTGTTCTCATCGATGCCACTGTCGCTGGAGGCATCTGTGTCGCAGGCTGTGAGGCCCGGGGGCACCGAGTCGTCCAGGGAGACCACTGACCCGGCATCGCCCTCACCACCGCCGGCATCAGAGCCACTGAAGACTGGCGACAGCTGGAAGTTGGTGCCGCTAATCAGCGGATTGTGATGATAATCACGCAGCACAGCCAATGTCGAGGTGTGGCAGTGCAGCGGCAAGCCGTACTTGCCGTAGCCCGACTTTGGTGCAGTTTGATCCAGGCAATTGTCATCTATAATCATCGGTTCGGATACATCTTCGGATTGGTTCACCTGTTTTCATGGGGTGGCAGAGAAGAGCAGAATGGAAAAGAGTGAATTAGTTGGGGGTTTTTGCACAGGATTACAGAGAACGAAGTCAAGCCAAGACTTGGCGCCCACCGGTGACAATTTATTTTATTTCCCTGCAAACAATTTGTTGGTGTAAATGGATCGATTTTGCTTAAACACTAACCTGACTTTACTTATTATTAATCTAATAAACGAGTTTCAATTACAACTACAATCAAATCTTAAGGAGCACAATCTGAACGTAAATTAATTGAAATTAACCAATTTGCAGCCTAATTAGCCTCCCCACTGAATCCCGTGACTCGTGACTCGTGACTCCCTGGAGTAGGTAACCTTTGACTTCATTTCTATGCAAATGCCAGCGATTAACTCTATGGGAGGTGGAGGCAACATTTTGATACCTTTCGCGAGCAAACGAGAATTGTAAAATCGAGCGTAAAAAGTGGGCTAAGCCACAGTCAGGCCAGGGCAGGGCAGGGCAGGGCAGGGCAAGTCTGTTTAAAGCCAGAAGACATTTACTTGGTCCCAGTGGAGTCCTCTCGCCAGAGAAAAGCCACACAGCCACCCACATCCCACAAGGAACAAGTCGAAGAATGGCCGCAATAAATCATATTTTAATGATGGCCCCACAGCCGGAACGGAACGGGTCTGAAATACGAGCAGAAACCAGCGACCAGCTTTATTATGCTTGTGCATTTGAGATTGACACAAAGAACTCCACCCACAAACCGGAGTCCTAGTCTATTCCCAGCAGACAGACAGACAGACAGTCTGACAGGAAGTGGAGGGGTAAGGAATATATCAGTGTCGATGGCTGCCTCCTGCAATTCACAATAATGACAACGGCCGATGACGAAGATAAAGTTGCCAAAAATTGGCCCCGACAGCGCCTCAGCGTACTCATGAGCTGTCCACGACTGAGCGACAAAGCGGGGTTCAAGTGCAGTCTATTGAACCCAAGCCCCATCCTCTGGCAATGCTCAAATGGTGTTTTTGTTTGTCTTCGATTGCAGCAGAGCGGAGCGCTAATTGCTGCAGTTCGACAGAGAGCGAAAGTGCTGTAAGTTGATCGATGGGCAAACAGCAGCCAATCCCCCTGCAAGTGAAAGTCTTTACCGCCTGCTGCTCCTCCAGGCATGTCATCCCGGACGACACATTAACAGCTGCCGCGACACAGCGATAGGAGCGACAGAACGACCCATAAAACATCTTCCTATCTGTTTCTGTGTGTGCGTCGGGGCGTATGCGTAACGAAATGGTGAAAAATTCTGCTGGCACGCGCACTGCCCCCCGAGGACATCGATGGCCGTGGCATTATAGGTTTATTGTTTGATATATGTCTGTCCTGTCCTGGCCTGGCCTGGAGCCGTGCCACGAGCCGCCTTACACTCTGTACTTTCATGGGCACGGGCCTAATATGCTCTAATAAATTATTAAAGGCAATTGCTGCCACGCAAAAGCGAAACTATTCACGCTACAGAATCCTAGACAAATTGTACGCGGCAAAAGGTTTCCGGGTGCGTTGGCCTGCCATCGGACATTACGATAATTGGCAGCCGAAAGCCCCCAACGGGAGGAGCCTTCACTTCACTTCTCGACTCGACTCAGACTCCGACTTTGATGTTGAGCCTCGACTCAACTTTATGGCGGATTTCCCCTAGCTGTGCAGCCGTTTAAAGCCATCTAATTGGATTTTTCCTGCTTTTTTATGGCAACGCACGGCCTAGCACGCATTTCATTGACGCTGCGCCACGCCCAGGCCAGAGCCTGGAAAGTCCAATAGAAAAACAAAAGTAATTAAAGGCAAAACTTTGCTTCCACTTCTGGCCAAGTTTTTGCACACAAAAATCTGCTGTCACCGCACAATAAAGGGGCACATAGAGAAGTAGGCAGCAAATGTCCTTAAAGTGCGCATGGATGGGAGGAGGTACAGTCCCAGTCTCAGTCTCAGCCTCAGCTTCAGCCTGGGCAGCAGTTTAAACTGCTTGCCACACTCTCGTTGCGTTGCGTAATTTGGCCGGCAGACTCCTGGGAATACTTCAATAGAAATTGGCTTCGCTGCCTCGGGTTGTCGATTCCGTTTGCTTGTTGCGTGCAGGAAGGAAGCAAAGGATTGCCCAGCCAGCAGTCAGCCAGCCCAAAGATGTTTGCATTTTTTCCTGCCCGAGTCATGGCATAACGAGGAGGAATTGAAATTGAAAACGGGAGAGGCCCACCTGATTGCCTCTCGAAATCAATAAGCAATAAAGTTGAATAACTCACGAGGCAGCAACAGCGACACCAGCCGTGGCAGTGGCAGTGGCAGTGGCATGGAGACTCCACTGCGGCGTATACGTAATGCAATTGTCGTCAGGCATATTTCCACTCTTAACAAGGATTGAGCTTGCGTGTGCCTCTGCCATGCTGGCAGATTGCGTACAATTTCATTTCGTCACTTCGTCGTGCGTGTGTGACGAAAATTTGTCATTTATTTCACAGGCAAACGAAGCGAAAGATTTAAATTCTGTTCCAGGAAGCGAAACCCAAATCTGAGAGAGAAAGTTATACGTGTGCTCGGCATACGAGAGAGATGCTTCAGAGAGGCAGGAGCAGGAGCAGCAGTTTGGCGGACTTGATTAGCAGGCAGCATCATTTATACCAATCGAAAAGATTTCAATAAATTGCCAGTCAGTCTCCAGCGAGTCTCCAGCGAGCACACAATAGAGATTAATCAATTCCCTGGCTGGCAGGGCTCGAGGGCAGCCCCAGTCCAAATATATGCACATAAATCGAAGAGCGGCAAAAAGAAAACAAAGTTGTAAACAGATTTCCACTTCCCCAAGAAAACACACAATTTCCACTCTTCGATTTGGGGGGCGGGAGGGCTGCTTCTTTGTGTCTGCTTCCTCCTCGATGGGAGGACTGAAGGTTGGTCCGAGGCTGTTGGTTCGCTGGTTGCGGGGATTTTAGCTTTATTCTTTTATTTGGATTTACTAAAATATTTATTAAAAGTTTATTAAAATACTTTTATATAATCCAGATATCATATCGTATCATATTTTCCATATTCCATAACCCATAATCCATAATCCATATTCAGTATCGCGTATCGTACTACACAGATGCAATCGCATGTAGATATAATATATATGTATAAGTTTGCTTGACATTCCTTGTATATATATTCTGTGTGTGTATATGGTTGTATAGGTGTATAATATTGCATACTTTGCGGCGTTTACACACTATATATATATATATATATTTTCTGCCTCAGCACTTAGCCTTACGATTCCGAGTCTAATTCAAGGCTAGTTCCAGCTAACTATGCTCCAATTTGCGCTAACTTCTTGTGTGCGGGTGTTTGGTGGGGAAGGATCTCAGGAGGTATTCTCGGTGTATTTTGTGTGTAAGCTGCTGTGCGTACTGCCACAGAGACTGCCGCTGACGGCGCACAAATGATTGTTGCAAATTAACTGGCCGGCAAGAAGATTTGTTGGCATGGCAAATTAAAGTAATGCCCCATCGAAAATGACTCTTTGACAAATGAGTTCTCACACTGTCTGACAGAGTCTGACAAAGTCAAAGAGATACAACTAAAGCGAAGGACTGCTGCAACCTGTAGAGGCAATCATAATCTAATTTTGCATAATGCCTGCACAATTAATCAGACAGGCAAGGGAGAGGTTGAGCGAGTCCCTATTTGCACTTCAAATTGTCTCAATCTCTAACACAGGCTATACTCGCACGTAGCTCTACGTAAAGCATTAATCAAAATCATCCAGCCGCCAAATCAATTGCAGCCAAGGGGCACAAAGTGCTTGTCACCTACGACATGGCGCTCTCATTGGATTTGAGTTTGAGTTTGAGTTTGACTTGAGTTATGATGAGTTGGCTGAAACGGCGGTAGCTTGCCACCTCCTCGCCAGTTTGTCTTTATTTGCTAGCCAACAAAATTACAGCACAGCCAATAAAGTTGCACAATAAATCTGATTTAGGCATGGGTGTGTGAGTGACTGAGTGAGGGGAAGGATGTGGGTGTGGGTGTGGGTGTGGATTTACTTTACTCACAAAAATTTGACTAAAATGTACTTTGCGTTACGTTTACTTTACTTGACTCTTGACTCTTGACTCTTGACTTACTGAAGAAGCATTTTCGTTATTCGTTACCGAGGTATGTAGGTTTTAGGCTATAAAAATGACACAACATTTAGTTTTACTTTAAGTTTACGTTACTTGCTCTAGATTTGGTTTAGCTTTGTTTTAAGATTTAATTTAGTTTTAGTTTTAGTCATACTTGGGCTCTAGTTTAGCTAATTCCTTTTGCTATAAATGCGTGACACATACAACAAGAATTGGAGGTAGTAAAAAACGATTCAACTCGTAATCGTCATCGTTATCGTGTAATCGTAATCGTAGGGGTAATCATCGTATTCGTATTTATTTGTAATCGTAATCGAAGGGTCGCACAACATTCATTCACTAAGAGGTGTGTGTGTGTGTCTATCAAAAGTCGGAGTAGGTTTAGGGGTGTATAAGGGGAGTATAGGTATACGGGGGATTAGAGGTATGTATGTATATTTTAGTTAAATGTATAAATGTCTCTCCGATCATACATCTCATATGTATGTATGGGTGTACACGAGGTAGTAGTATGTGATCGTCTGCACGATCGTACTTATGCATGTACTGAGGTATATGTGGTATATTTGTGGTGTTGTATGTACTTTCTGTTCGATTCTCCACTCTCTTTGCACTGCCGTCACGATAAAGCTATCTTCCACCCATTTATGCACCGCTTTCCATTCCATTCCATTCCATTCCATTCCATTCCATTCCATTCCATTCCATTTCCTTCTCTCCCTGCCATACGTAACGCGAAAAATTCAACTAAATGCGGGATTTTGGGGGCTGATTGGGGGAAGTCGTTAATGTTATTGTTATCGTTAGTCGATTCAAATTTGACTTGCTCTGGGTAAGGATCGTAATACTAGCTCCTCATATATCTAAGTATTAGGCAGATTACTGGATTGCTCCTATACTTTAGTTAGTTCTTTAATTTTTAGTTTAGTTAAAGCCACATCGATTAATTTTTTGAGAGTTCTCTAGCTTAGTGTCATCGGTTCTCTGGTGTTTTTTTTTGCATCTTATCCTAAGTATTTACATCCCTTTCTGCTCTGCTCTCTTCCAGCACTTACATCTCTATGTATAAGTTTCGAGTTGTGTATATAATTTTTGAGAGTTTTCGGCTCACAGTCTTTTCGGGCTATAATAATTATTCTCAAATATTCTCAAATCCCACCGGGATCTGGATTTCTGGATCTCTGACTAAATGATTATCGAGAGGAATCTATAATATAATTCTTATATTGGTATTTGTCTAGTTAGTTTCTTCGTCTTTTAATGCTACATACAGGACTCGAGGATTGCTTTTCAATTTGTCTAAATGTTAAGAGTTAGTCTCGTCTCGTCTCGTCTCGGGGGGGGGTTGAGGTTGATTCCTGCTAAAAGTATATTTTTGCTATCATTTCTGAGCTGATTGCGAGAGAACTTTCCGTTCTTTCGTTGAGAGAGTTGGCTATTCCCTTCCATTCCGGAGGTAGTTTCGGTTTACAGTACTGCGAGTGCCGTGTGGTGCCCGCGAGGTAGTTTCGGTTCGGTTTTGGTTCCGATCTTTCTTCTATGAATTGTTCTATTTCGACCAGTGAAGCCTGCACCTTGAGGCCAACACTCCACTCTGCTGCTGGAGCAAACAAAACACACAACAACAAAAGAAACCACGCAAAAATAAAGAGAAATAAGGTAAATGTTGCATAGAGCGCCCCTAAGTAGGCAGCAAATATTTGCTCACGCACACCCAGGCACACACACATGTGTCGCCGGATAATGCAAATTGGCTGAGGCATGCTGCAAGTACCGCTACCGCAGCCAATTAGGGGAAGCGGACGATTCATTAGTGCAGGGCACAACCAGGCGGCGCCGAACCGCAGTCATGACGCACAAGTGCCTGGGCTGGGAAGCTCGTGTTGCCCATAAAACCAGCAGAGCAGCCCATCCCGGGCACTCGAATACATAAGAGACACGTGCCGCAAAACCAGAAAGAGAGACTGAGGCAAAGGCAAAGGCAAAGAGCGTTGGCGGTGGCGGTGGCCTGAACGGAAAGTGAAACTGAAAGTGAGAGCGACAGAGAGTAAGCGGAGAGAGCGCCAGAGCTGTGTCAGCTGTGTGTGTGCTCCAACAAAAAGGAAAATACAACAGCCAGAGGATAGACACAGATGAGAGTGGGAGTGAGAGTAAGAGTAGAAGTAGAAGTGGAAGTGGAAGTGTAAGTGGAAGTGGAGATTGTGGGCCTAAGAGAGGTGCAAAATCAATACGGAAAGGGAAACTTCAAGCGAGAATGCGACACGCGCTGGAATGCTAATGTGCTGCCGGGATCCCAGGGAATCCCAGCTCAATGGCCTGAGTAAAGTAGTGTCAATAGTGTCGCAGGCAACGCTCTGGCGCTGACATTTTAAATTGTGGGCAGAATGGCAGGCAGGTTGTCAGCAGTGGCAGTGGCTGGAAAGTTGCGTGTAAATTTGTTTGCCTGTAACCCATGCGACTGACTGACTGACTGTATTTCAGTATTTGCCATCTGGATATTTATGATTTTGGATACGTTTTCGAGGGGTTGCGGGAGGGGCAAATATGTGCGTCAGACACGCCAAGGCCTGGCAGGGGCCAGCGGCAAAGTTAATTAAGCTGGTAAGAGGGGAGCGGGCACAATGGGAAATTCGTTGTGTAACACGGACCCCGACCTGTGACCCCCCCCCACCAGAGCGGGCCACTGGAATGTATGTAGGTCAGTACGTGGCACAGTATAGAAAATCAATAAAAAGTTGCTTACAAATATTTAAAGCAGAGAAAGAAATCGAAACAATTCAAGTAAAATACATATACATACATAAGTTACATATTATGTACATGTATGTATGTAAAGTTTTTTTTCGTTTTTGTTTTTTGTGTAATTAAAAACTGCTACAAATAATAGAAACAAAATAAAATGTCTACAAACTAAATTTAAAAACGAATCAAAGGCGCTTCTCTGCTCCAGCGAGTCGGGAGTTGGAGTTGGCCAAGTTAAAGCTTCAGTGGCGACCCGAGGTTTGTTCTACATACGCTCTATTATTTTCTTTACTATATGTATAAATATATGTATCGTATGTCTAGAGGTATTCGTATATATTACTAGACATATATATTTATGTAATGTATAAACCGTTGAGTGCTCAGCCCAACACGAGGATTGTTCTTTTAATTTCTAATAGTTGCTAAAACGTTTATAATATTTCTATGTATATGTGAGGGTGGTGTGTGTGTGTTGTGTCTGACTTTTCACTAGAGAATTAGTGCACAGAATTGTTGTCTTCTAGCTTAAAGTGTGTTGTGTTTTCCTTTGTCTTAAATTTCTTATCTAGGGATTTTGCTTCCTTTTTATCCACTTTTTATCTCTCATTTTGTTTTTGTTTGTACGTTCAGCGCTCGAATTTGAATGTTCAAAATTTTGTTACTCCTTTTTCATTTTCACAAATCTTGACAAATGTACACAGTTTTTGTTTAAATTATTTTTTTTGTGGAAAACAAACAACACAAACATGAATTCGAATCAAACGCTGAGTGTCGCCGTCTGACTGACTGTCCCTAGCTATGACCTGGCTCTATCCTCCACTTCTCGTACAAACTTCTCCGCATCCCTCAGTCCAATTGCTTACACATCTAACAAATTCAAAATCTTCCACGAATAACAGAAATCATAGGGATCAAAGCATATCTCGCACGGATCAGCCAGAAGAATCAATTATTAAGAATCGGAAACTCAAACAACAAAAGCAACAAATGCTATCACAGTAAAAAACTTAAAGTTGCCATATTTGAATTAAATAGTTTACAATTTTATTGCAATTGTTTTAATCATCCGCCGTCCGCTTTATCGCCTTCCTCTCTAACTACTGCGTCCAGAGTCTGCGATGATCTGTGATGCACTCGCGATGGATCGAGCCTATGCCTACGGTTTGTTTTAGCTTTATTTTATGTACAACAGAATTTAGTTAGTTAGCTGATATGCTCAACAGAACAGATAAGATATAACAACATGCTTACGGCTTACGGCTTATGGCCTATGGCTTACGGCTCTCAAACTTAAAATGAAATCAACAAATCGCGCGCCAAGCTAAAAACTTAAAGATTTAAGATCCGCATCCGCAGCTGCAGCTGCTGTCCGCGCACTATTTTAAATAGTCTACAAATTTATAATTTTAAAGTCCACGTCTTACACATCTAGGGCTATCGTCTAACAGCTATCATCTAGGGCTATCGTCTATCTGCTAGCGACTATCGACTACTTCCTAGGTCTAGGGACTACACGAATTGAACGCCCCCCCTCCGTGCTCTCACTTGAGAGGTTTGTTTCTGTTTCTGTTTTTGTTTTAGTTTTTATATAAAATCGATCCATTTACAAAGACAAATTGTAGAAATGGGCTTGTCCGTGTGTGGTTTACGAGTAACTTAGCAACTCCTTGGTTTAATCATAGCCTTGGCGTTGGCTTCCATTAGCTAATTGAGTGGCGGGTGGAGGTCTCTCTAGAAACTCTAGAGTCTGGGGAGTCTAGACCTTGGCCAGCTGCTTCTTGGGCCGCATGGGCACAATGCAGTAGCCGGCACTTACATCACGTCCGCTGACGAGTAGATTCTTCAGCACCGAGTTCGATTGCTGCTGCTGCTGCTGCTGCTGCTGCTGCTGGAGCTTCTGCTGCTGCTTGCCCTCCGCCGTCTGTTGCCAGCGCTCGCTGGCCGCCCTCTTGGCCGCGAGTGTCTGCTGCTGGGTCGAGTCCTTGCCGATCAGCTGCTGCAGCAGCTGCGGTGACTGCACATCCAGGCAGAGGGTGCCGCTCTTCAAGCGCTTCGATTCCACCGGGTTTCCCTGGCTCGTCTGACTGTTGAGGTGTCGCTTGTTTCCGTGTTGCTGCTGCTGGGGCACGAGTGTCTGCAGCATGGTTGCCTTTCCGAGTCTCTGCTGCACCTGCTGCTGCTGCTGCTGCTGCTGCTGTGTCGTTGTCTGTTGCGGCTTGCTCTCCACCAGGCGTATGGTTGCCTTGGTGGTCACTGGCGCAATGCTCGCTCCATTCAGCAGCTTCATGGTGGCCACTGGCGCCTGCTGCTTGCTGCTCAGCATTAGCTCCTGCAGCTGCTCCTGCTGCTGCTGCTGCTGTTGCTGCAGGATGCTCTTGTTGTTCTGAATGGTTATCAAGGGCACAGCATTCAGGATGATGTTCTGCTGTTGCTGCTGCTGCTGCTGCTGCAGGTGCTGCTGTTGGTGTTGCAGCAGCTGGATGGGTGAGGCCACCTTGCAGGGTGAGGGCGAGGCAGCCGGACTAACGGCAGCCTCCGCCACATTCATCTGCAGCAGATCCCAGCAGTCCAGATTGGAAGCTAAAAGAATTCGTCAGACAAATATTAAATATTCTCAATGGAAATGGAAATGGAAATGGAAATGGAAATGGAGGAGGGGAAAATGTAGGTGCTAAATTCTTGTGGGATGTCGAAACATGCTGCCTAATCCCTGGTATCCCCTCTGCTGCCTGCCCACTCCTCGATGCCTCAATTCGAAGACAAAATTAATTCCTTTGCCCATGACATTGATGCTAATTTAAAACAATAATATTTTGCCTGCCAGGCAGCAGGCAGCCAGCAGCGAGCAGCCAGCAACATTTCGCACATAAATAATTGAGAGAGAATCTTCTCAAAGCTGCAGATACATATATTTGTATCTCTATCTGTGTATCTGTGCATCTGTTGCTGCCTTTGTCCTCACTCTAGAATAGATACACAAAACTGTATCTAAGAGTGACATAAATCACGCAGCGGATTAGCCTAAAGGTGGGGCAGCTATCATAAAGGCCTAAAAGGCAGCCACCATCTGACTGTCACATCTGGAGGCACTCGCAGTCAATACAACGGACAGGGCCATGGGACACCAATCCATGGCAGGCATCAATCACATTGCCGACCAGACCCTACGCTCCCTACGCTCCCACTGACATGTGTCAAAGGTAAGAGAGCAATGTGTGAAAATTGCGCAAAATCGTTTACAAAGCACTTTTCCTCTCAGACAGCTGCCAGGCAAGAGACCAAAGAAAAACGAATGGAAAAACTTGGATCCACACATCAATTAGCTCTCCCGCAGCTCCCCCTCCGGCCAGCCAGCCAGCCAGCCAGCCAGCCACAGTGACATCTTCCGCGACACGCAACAATATTTCTCCTATTTTTTGTTCCTCCCTCTATTTTTACATGTAGGCGTTGTGCCAGTGCGTGTGTGGCGTGTTTCAGGGTGTGCGTGTGTGTGTGCGTTGGCAGCATATCATAAAAAAATATTTTCTACTTTCTTGTGGGATATTTTTAGTCAGGCGGCAAATGCCATCAAATTAGGCCTCTCCAAGTGCAGGAAAATAAGTCTTCCCCCAGCCCAAAATCAAACCTATTCCATCGATCCCTGGACATGAACTGATTGATGGTTGATTCTCCTCTCTCTCTCTCTCTCCATTAATACTTACAATCCTTGCTGTAGTCATTCTCAAATGCATCCTCAATGGAATGACTCAAGCTGGGTGCCATTGGCACTTCGTATTTCTCCTTTTTGCACTCGATGCTGAGGCTTATCAGTTGCTGCTGCTGCTGCTGCTGCTGCTGCTGCTGCTCCTCCTGCAGCTGCAACTCCTGCTGCAATTGCTGGAAACTGCGAAAGTCGCTGCTGGCCTGCTGCTGCTGAAGACGCTCTTCCGCGGCGTTGGCTCCACTCTCGCCCAGTATGGAGAGCGTTCCATTGCCCGAGCCACAGAGCAGCGCTGCCAGTTCACTCGAGTCGGTGGTGAAGACTCCTCCGGTCTGCTGCTGCTGCTGCTGCTGTTGCTGCTGCACTGGCGATGGTGACAGCGAGGACACTGTCGAAGCGGGTGACGAGCACAGGGAGTTGGAGAAATGCTGCTGCTGCTGCTGCTGCTGCTGCTGCTGGTTGTACTGGCTGTAAGCCTGCTGCTGCTGGTGATGATGCTGCTGCTGTTGTAGCTGCTGCAACTGCTGCTGTATGGCATCAATCTCCTTGGGCATGGATCCATGCAGATCCTCCGGCGGACACCACATCAAGTCTGTCTCCGTCTCGTCGCCGTACAGTAGCGGGTACCCCTACATACCCCGTGCGTAGAGTTTCAGGTGCTTGCTCTTAAGTAGGAGGACCCAGTCGCTTGACCCCGACGTATCGCTACCGTCCGACGACAGGAGCCCTGAGACGTTCGCTTTCCCCTTGCGTTTAACCCCAATCGTTTAACAGTAATCTCAATACCATTTAGGGTCGCACTCACCTTCGATGTGATGCTGGGCGAATGCAGATGCTGGGAGCAGCTCGTGTCGTTCGACTCCTCGCGGTAATTGAACAACGGATCGATGTTGCTGCTGCTGCTGTTGCTGTTGCTGTTGCTGTTGTCGTGATGCTGGTGCTGATGTTGCTGCTGGTGCTGCTGCTGGTTGCTGCTGCTGTGATTGCTCGGAGTGCTGCTGCCATTCGAAGCTCCTCCTCCGGCTCCTCCTGCTGTGGTCACCACACCTGTGGGCGTGAGCGGGCTGAGGGGACTGCTGGCGTAGCTGCTGCTTTGGCTGCCGCTGTGGCTGCCACTGTGGCTGTGGCTGTGGCTGCTGCTGCTCTGGTAGTGGGGCGCCACGCTGGCCGTTGTCGAGCAGGTGGTCGAGTCCAGGGAGTTGATTTCGTCCGGCAGCAGGCAGGAGCTCATGAGGCCCACCAGCATGTCGCTGAAGGGTGTCATCTCGTCCAGCTGTATGCAGTTGGTCGAGGCCAAATGATGCGACAAATCGTCGGGTTCCTCCTTGAGCACTGAAAATGGATAGAGAGAGAGAGAGAGAGAGAGAAATTCGGTTAGTTTCGGTTTCTCCTGGTTTTCTTTTGCTTTCGCTAGAACGAACTCTCTCGGCGCTGTGTTGTCATCTACGCTACACTTTTTGATGGCTGTTAATTAATGGAACCCTTGCCGAAAATTCATTTATCGCCAGTGGCAGTGCCCGTGCCTAGAGCCAGTGCCAGTGCCAGTGCCAGAGCTCTGCTCTAATTGACAGCTCGTCTCAATTGAATCTAATTGAACGCGTTTCCTCCGTGAATTAGTCGCCTAGTCGATGCCTCTTGTTCCTTCCATTCGAATCGAAATCGAGCCATGATTTTTATGGCACTCGTAACTCTTCCTACCCTGCCATACAGCAGGCAGGGAAGACTCATTAATCAGCACTTTGGGGCGACGCTATCAGCGAATAGCAAAAACCAAAACCCCTTTTGACGCACACGGAACAAAAGTGCGGACAAAGCAAAATGGAAACAGAAACAGATGCAGAATCAGAATTCCAAATCAAAAATAATTATTATTATTATTTTGTGCCAATTTTTCCTGAATTAAATAACTCTCGTGAGGGCAGCGCATCCGATTGGATGGGCAAAAGGTGCAAGGCAAGGCGCTTATCACCCCTTGGGATGCGGCGAGCGTCACGATCATCTGACCCGATCCGATCCCACCCCTCCCTGTATATAGCCCCGATCTCTCTGTACATCATATATGTATGTACCTGGGATATATGCAAATAAAACTAGTTCCAACCGCCTCTGCGGCTCGGGTTTGGGCGACTATTGAGTTGCAATTGCAAAGACCGCAGGCCAAATAGAATTTCAAATGCATTCGTGAGTCTATGGGTAGGAATTTGTGAGTGTGAGTGTGAGTGTGAGTGTTCATTGCAGGGGGGCTTACTTCTCCAGCGAGCCATAAATCCCTCTGACAGCAGCAGCAGCCATATAAGCAGCTCTCTTTCTCTCTCTCTCTTACAGTGTGGCTTAGCGCTCGCTCGCTTCTGCCCACACATATCCCCAGTATATAATGGCAATAAAGCAATAAAGAACCGATTATCTGGTAGGGCTTTTCTCCGTCTCTAGCCCTGCCACTGGTACGTGGCACCTCCGACTGGGCACTTGCTCTTGCGGTCGCTGCATTCGACACAAACAAATTAATTAACAATGCACGCCTAAAGGTGCCCCGCTCGGGGCACCCTGCACCCAGCAACCCGGCAGTGTATTTGTGACTTGTAATTATGGCACTCGAGTGCTACTCAAACGAGTGTCGCTGTCGCTGAGGCTTTTGCGGAAAAAACAACAGAAATTATGGCGCATGATAATACAAAGCCCCCGAAGTACACACTGCCCTGTTGATCCCTCACAAAAAAATGTGCAAGGCCGGGCCTCAGTCGCATTTAGCGGCCAACTAACTGGGCTAACTGGGGGCCTACAAACGAGAGAGAGACAGAGAGAGAGACTCGACGAGATGAGAATAGGCTGAAGGCTGAACTGCAACTGCAACTGCGACTACAACTGTGACCATCACCCAGTGATTCAGTCAGCCAATCGAATGTGAAAGGCATCTCTGCACTTGAGCCACATTCGGAGTGCGGTTTGTGCACTTGAATATCGTGTGGCGTGTGTGTATTCGAAAGTTTGTNCGTGAGTCTATGGGTAGGAATTTGTGAGTGTGAGTGTGAGTGTGAGTGTTCATTGCAGGGGGGCTTACTTCTCCAGCGAGCCATAAATCCCTCTGACAGCAGCAGCAGCCATATAAGCAGCTCTCTCTCTCTCTCTCTCTCTTACAGTGTGGCTTAGCGCTCGCTCGCTTCTGCCCACACATATCCCCAGTATATAATGGCAATAAAGCAATAAAGAACCGATTATCTGGTAGGGCTTTTCTCCGTCTCTAGCCCTGCCACTGGTACGTGGCACCTCCGACTGGGCACTTGCTCTTGCGGTCGCTGCATTCGACACAAACAAATTAATTAACAATGCACGCCTAAAGGTGCCCCGCTCGGGGCACCCTGCACCCAGCAACCCGGCAGTGTATTTGTGACTTGTAATTATGGCACTCGAGTGCTACTCAAACGCTCTGGCATCGCCGTCGCCGTCGCTGTCGCTGTTGCTGAGGCTTTTGCGGAAAAAACAACACAAATTATGGCGCATGATAATACAAAGCCCCCGAAGTACACACTGCCCTGTTGATCCCTCACAAAAAAATGTGCAAGGCCGGGCCTCAGTCGCATTTAGCGGCCAACTAACTGGGCTAACTGGGGGCCTACAAACGAGAGAGAGAGAGAGAGAGAGAGAGACTCGACGAGATGAGAATAGGCTGAAGGCTGAACTGCAACTGCGACTGCGACTACAACTGTGACCATCACCCAGTGATTCAGTCAGCCAATCGAATGTGAAAGGCATCTCTGCACTTGAGCCACATTCGGAGTGCGGTTTGTGCACTTGAATATCGTGTGGCGTGTGTGTATTCGAAAGTTTGTTGTTTTGGGGCGGGAACAGGTTGCCGCATTAACACACGAGACACAGACAGAGATGAAGATACATAAAGCACAGCCAAACCCGTGACTGTGAAGGGAAATCTTCAGATGAAAAGAGACAAGAAACAGCCTCAATTTAAATAAATTTATGTCATCATCTTTGCAATTGAAAACGGCAACCCAGGCTGGCTCCTGCGTTCTCAGTGCCGTGACGTGACGTGACGTAGTTCCAAATCAGAATCAGAGAAAAAACAAACGCAGAGAATCGAATATGAGTGCCATAGAGACAAAACGGGGCCAGGCCACAGGGCGATGCTTTGTAAGAGAGCCCCAACCCAAAAGACAAAACAAAAAATATTGAACAAATTTACACAGAGCGCCACAGACAGAGAGACAGACAATCAGCAATGAAGCGACTGAAGCCAAGTTGAACTTGAACTGCGGCTGGGCTGTGGTATTATCATCCCATCCCAAGCCCATTCCATTCCATTCCATTCCGTTAATATGATTAGAGGAGAGACTCTGCTGACTGCCCCTCCTCACTGCATGGACAGTCGTGTTGGACTCGTGCTAATCACGACTGAAGTGCGTTTACACGTCCACGCATGACCCCATCCCCATCGATACGTTGAGGCATAATTGCTGTCGCACCATAAATGGCAGTGGCACATTGTTGGGAGCAAATTATTTATGGGCAAAAAGTGGCTGTCTGTGTTCCTGTTCCTGTTTTTGTTTTTGTTTTTGTTTTTGTTCGCTGCCCATGCTGTGTGTTATCGTTACAAATATTTGCTTTTGAAGATTGCGCGGATTGGATAACAGCATAAAGTAATTACAGTGAAGCTTCTGTTGCTTGTTTGTCCCTCAGACAAGGGCCAGAGGAGTCTCGTTTGCATCAACCGCTGATTAGGCGAGTGGAATGTTTCAAGTTTGAAGGGAAAACTACACATAATGCTCGAGGCATCATCATCGATGGATTCCTGAAGCCAAAGTTGCAGACGAGACAAAAATAAAGCCAAAGTTGCGCCGTTTCCCTGTTTATTTACGTTCCACGACACGAAAATAAATATAGACGGGGCGAAATGAGGGGGAACACGAAAGGTATCTGTGGCTGTAGCTGTTTCTGTAGTATCTGCCGCAGGCAGCACAAAATGTCAACAGAAAGAGGCCGAAACAAAAGCGAAAGCGATTAGGGGCAAAGGCGGGATGGGGTGGGTGGGGAAGCTGCAGGTTTGCCCCATACCTCCATTCAGAGCAGGAGGAATTTCAGAAAAAATACTCAAAATTTAAGCAGCAAAAGGCTATGGGTCGGTGGGGTGCTGGAAGGGGTGCGGGACACATGCGAGACGGATCCGCTTGATCCATGGCCGGACCTTGGCACACGCGCCAAAACATTCCTCTCTCGCTCTCTCTCTCTATTGCTCTTTCCACTCTTTTTCCACTCTTTCACTGCTCCTCTTCGTTCTTCCCTGTGCCCGTCCGACGACAGCCGCGCATCGCTTAACATATTAATTGGCTCAAGTTAATATTCATATTTTGGGCTCTTGTCACCAGGCGACAGAAGCGTGCAAGTAGTCCCCCAAAAAGTAAAAAAACAAAAAATTCTCACTCGCCACCATACAACAAAAAGAATATCTAAAATTTCCAATTGGTTTTCGGATGCTGCCTGACAGCACACAAACACAATTGGAGACACAGAGCCGCGAGCCGCGAGCCAGCAGCAGTGTTTTTCCACAGCATGGGATCCATCAGATGGATTGAATGAAGCAAAAAAGATCCGAGCAGAGCACTGCTTGTTATGCCGCTATGGCTACTATTGCTGCTACTGCTTCTAAGATGCATTTTACTGCTAATCAACTGCTTTACCAATACTCTCTTTGGATCTACTACACTGCTTGCTATGCTGGTTTACTGCTTTACCATTTCTGCTCTTCTGCTTCATTAATTTATATTCTATCAATGGTGATCTTTTGTAGCGAATGCAAATGCAAATATATGCACAAGGGATCGACCCTTTGGGGGTGGGGTTCCATTTTGTCTCTTGCTTTGTGTGATTAGCCGGCAAAACATGACATAAGAGTGGGCCCGAAGCCGCTTCAACTCGGGAAAATGCACTGGCAACCGGCATGCGGTTTAGTGGGGAGTGGAAACCAATCAACTATATACTCGTTTATATGGCTCTGTACATGTACATACATATGCACTTATCAGGCGAGGCGACCACTGAACATTGTTTACTAAATGCAATTGAAGGGCCGTGGCGGGGTGGGTAGTGAAATGAGGGAATGTGTTGTTGTTGTTGTCTTTACAAATAAATAGTTTTATTTGCGCAAATTGCGGCCAGAGTCAGGCACTGGCAGATAAGCAGAAAAAGCAGCAAACCGACTGACAGACTGACTGGACTTACTGACCAATCAAGCAATCGACGACGCTGCATCAGAGAGGCTTACGACAATGCGTCAAATCACATCAAATATCGCGCGTCACTAAAAGTAGTGCTCCTCGCTATGCCCCAACCCACCGTCCGTAGTTGTGCATAGAATTTATAAACAAAGCAGAGGCAGAGGCAGAGGCAGGGCCAGGCAATAAATATGTATGAATGAGTGTGTTGGTGTTGGTGAGCGTCGCAGCTGCGACTCTTCAGCCTTGAACGCAGCACTGCACCTGATGCATTTGTTGGATGTACTTTAATGAAATGTTTTTGCTACCCCTTCCGCTTATCAGCTTATCAGCGCACTAACAAGATGAAACCCCCAACCTTATCGAGTTCGTTCTAAATAGTTTTAAAAGGTTTTAACTTGGGATACTCACTTGTTAGGCCTCGTCCATCGTCGACGAATGATAGGAATCCCTTACTCATATCTTGAGTCGCTTGCAGATTCTGCTGTGGATTCTGCTGCTGATTGCTCGACGAGAGAATCGCTGCCGTTGCTGTCGTTGTCGGGGGCAGTGTTGGTTCTGTTGTTTTCTTGAATCCAAGTCCCGCTGCTGGGGCTGTTGTGGGTGTTGCAGTTAAAGGTGGCGCCGGACTGGGCCGGAACACCGAAGCGGTCACCGACTTGGGGCGCTTCTCCTCGAGTCGCAGGCTGTTGCCACTGTTGGCGGTGGCGGTGCTGATCAGCTGTGCTGTGATGGTGCGCGGACCCGGCGAGTGATTCTCCCGCTTGATATGGAGTTCTGCCTGCTGCAGTTGTTGTTGTTGTTGTTGTTGTTGTTGTTGTTGCTGTTGATTGTTGGGTGGTTTGGCTGTTGTTGTTTCAGTTGTGATTGTCGGTGGGTTGTTGTTGGTTGCAGCAGCAGCAGTAATTTCCGTTGCAATTGGAGTTTTCTCCGGCTCTGGATTGTTGTTGATTTCCGAAACTGGCTCCTTGCTCTCAATTGGGGCTTGGGGTTTCTCCTCAAGCTCTATTGGAGTTGCGTTTGTCTTAGCTGGTGTTTCCTCCTGTGTTGTTGTGGTTGTTGTTTCTGTGTTGTTTTTGTTGTTGTTCTCGATGTCAGTTGCTGTTTGTTGCTGTTCCTTTTGCTCGCTTGCCGCCGTTTGCTGAGCAAGTGAGTAAATCTCATGTTTGTTCTCAAGATTACTGCAAAAATGACGAATCGAAGCGCGTTTGTCGTAATGATTTATATATCTATAGAGGGTATGTGGTTTTGTCTGACTTCGCGTTTGCACTCGTTTGTTACACCCACAGGCACAGAGGGAGAGAAAAGTAAAGCGCGCGACACACTCGATAGATACACTCTCGTATCTTTGGGGAAATGCATGCTTGTGCTTCCACAATGTATCTTTCAGTACAACAAAGTATCTTCAGCACTCGCTCACACATAGGCATCACAATCACAGTCGCGTGTGGCAGCAGCTGCTGCTGCTCTGTTGTGTGGCAGCTGCCTGGCACTTGTTCTCTGGTTAGTAATTAACAATTAGCAAACTTAGAAATTAACACTAGGTACCGTCTCCACCCTACCCCTCTAACGAGCCGAATTGAGCCACGAACAACAGGCAACCCCAACCCCAACCCCACCCTGGGGCAGCGGTGTGTGTTGCCTAACTAAGGTCTTCCCCTCTCCTGATGAACGAGTTGTCGATGGACTGCTCTGGTTTACACTATTAAATTTCACAACCGGCAGCATTGGAAAATTTTCCTCTGCCGATAAGCTGCCAGCCTGCCTGCCCTCAGTCAGACACCCAAATTCGGGGTCACCCCCACACACACACACACCCCATCCGATCGGGGATGGATTCCACGCATCCAACGATCGCCTCGTTATCAGTTATCCAGGCTAAAATCAGTAGCGACGCGTTCGGGGATCACTCGACAGGCAGGCCGTGATAGATAGCAAAGCGAATGGAATCGCACGGAAGGTGGGTGTGTCCCGATGTCTCACAAGGCAATAACACCAAGAGCTGAAGGCTGAACCCTACCCCACCCCACCCACATTTCGAACCGGACCCACATTGATAAGACGCCTGCCACTCCGAGTATCAGTAATCTCTGAGAAGAGAGAGCGAGCGAGAGAGAGAGAGAGCTCGAGCGAGGCACAGCAACATGGCGGCGAGCACTTTACGGCGCGTCTCTCGACCAAATTTAATTGTTTTGCAAATGTTTTTGTTGCCTGCTGCTCTTTGATAAGATAGTGTGTGCCTTTGCCTTCATGATCGGCCGACTCAGGCAGTTGTCCCGTGCCCGTGCCACTGCCCCTGCCCCTGCCCCTGCTCCTGGCTTTGGGTCGTGAGGTGTGCATGCATGGAGCGGGTGAGTATCAAGCGTTAGACGCGTGAAGCCCCCGTGGGGCCCCCGTGAAATCCCCGTGGAATGCCCCGACCCGACAGCCAGGTCTGATCGTGATAAAGGCGCCATCACCATCACACGGCAGCGGCAGAACATTACGGAAAACACTCGATCTATATTTGTGCGTCGGGGCGGCCCTCAAGTGCTGGTGGACATGATGAGGCGGAATATCACCAGCAACAAAACCAACAAACAATGGAATATTATTTATAATTGTGAGATTTCAGACACCAACCAAACCCCCAACCACAGACGCTAGTCATAGTCGTCGGTTTACTTTTTTGGGGGCTCGTCCCTCTGGTGAAATAGCAGAAAGTACCTGAGTACCAGAGTAATTCGAGGGGCGCACTGGGGGCGGGACTGCAAAGTCATGTGTGACATTGAAGTGAAGGGGTTTTCAATGTACATACATTAGATAGATAGATAGAAAGATAGCTAGATAGATGTGTAGATATCAGCCACCTCAACGAGGTGACCAGCCCACTTTGATGGGTTTCCAATGTCATTGCGTAATCCGGAAAGAGTGGGTTGGTGGGTACCGAATCGATGGATCTAGATGTGATGACATACCCACCTGACACAGCGCACACAGAACACAATACACACACACCAATACATTTAAATAATTGCTTTATCTTCTTTTGTTGTCGCCGGGAGATCGCCAATTGTTTGCCTTCAACTATGACTTGTGCCAGTTGCAACCAGTTGGAACCAGAACCCGACACCGTTCCATTCCAGGGCTCCAAAAAAGGCTTACATCACATCGTAATTAGGGATCCACTCGAGCGGGGAGTAGAGTGGGAATGAAGTGCTGGAAAAGTGCACTGCAGAGAGGCTGATAAGTGATAACGGGACTATCGCACTATCGATCCCCAAAGCTTTTGAACTGTGGGCCCCCAGTCGCGTTTCGCCCAGAGCCGCGTAGAAGCTGTAGCTGAAGTGCGGAGTCAGCAGAGGCAACGGCAGCAGCAACAGCAGCGCTGTTCGATCGCCTGATGTATGCGAACGCCCGCTTGCTCTTTTTGCTTGGAAACAACACAGCACAGCTCTCTCGCTCTCTCTCTCTTTCTCTCTCTTTCTCTCTCTTCCTCCCTGCCGCTGTGTGCAAATGCACAAATTAATTACCGAGTGCGAAGAGCGCAACTAAACGAAGTTAAAGTACAAGTAAAAGGGGAGTAAAATGACAGTAAAACATTTAAGAGCACATTAGTAATGCATCGGCAATGCAAAAAGATCTTTGAAATATGTTAGAGGAGCGCATTCTCAAGGAGAGGGGAAGAGGAAAAAGCTACAGATGTAAATTAAAGCAACAATTTCTTATTGTGTAACAAATTGCGTCGAAGGCAGAGGCAAAAAAGAACAGAGAGCAGAGAGCAGAGCAGCGACAGAGATACAGAAGCAAGCGACCATAAAGAGAGAGAGATAGAGAGACAACAAGCATACGACAACAAACACAGACAGAGACAGAGACAGAGAGACATAAGCAGAGGCTGTGTATTCTGTTGCTCCTTCCTCTTTTCTCCTCTTCCGCTGATTTCAATTGCAGAGCAATAACGGGCACACGGCTACATTGGATCCCCTGCCTGCTCCCCCCCGACCAAACCAACCCATCCAACGCATGGACCAACGCAGCGTAAAATAGCAGTAATTGCTCTCTGTGAGAAGAGTGTGTGTCGCTGTCCATGTGAGTGTGTAGTAAATTGAATGAACGAAAAAAAGCCAGTAGCATATAGTGGACTGGTGGAGGGGAGGAAGAGGCGTGCAGGCACAATGGACCCTGAATTAAGCAGATCAAAAGAGCGTACCAACTGACAGAAATTGAGGAGAATATGTTTACTTGGGGAGTTGTGTAATCAATTGGTTTGTCCCCGCAAAACAAGCGGGGAGGGCGAGGAACAACAAACACTAACACGGAACAAACACTGGACACGGGGGCAGACAGACACCTCTCCACGGTTGCACTCGCAATTAAACGCACACTTTACCTTTAATTAATTTCTATATTCTGGCATAAACAAATGCCAGCGCTCGCTCAGCAATTTTATGTAATGCAAATTTGCAAATGCAATGCGGCTGCTGGCTTTCCTCCCCGCAAAAGCGAAACGAAGAAGAAGGAACAAAACACACATCACTATGTCTGGTCTGTGGAGCGAAGAGAGTGATTGAGAGTGGGAGAGTGAGAGGCCTACTAGGCAGAGAGAGCATTTTTGGACAAGTGCAGAGGCAGCGACAGCGACAGCGAATGCACGCAAAATGCAATTTCAATTGCAGGTTAGGACCGAGTGTTGTGTAAAACTTTCGTCTCTTCTTCCTTTCTCCCACTTTCGTTGGATTAACTTTTTAATCGCGCATAAGGAACACATGCAGAAATGGCTTTCAGGCCCGAGGGTAACAAACGTTTGCATACACTTTTCTTGGATGTGGGTCTGGATCTGGACATGGACATGGACCGGATCAGAGCAGAGCACAACACAGCAGATCGCTGCTGAATTTGATAATCTACACACACTCACACACACAAAGACAACCATAACAGCAGGCTGATTAAAATAGGAATTATATATACTTTAAGTTATATATTATCTGCACGAGTGTGTTTGTGTGTGTGTGTGTCATTCCACGCATAATAAAGTTTATTTTTGTCATTTTTTTTGTTGGCAATTTGTTTAATTTTTTGCGTGTTTTTATTTAGATTTTGTTTTATTCCACGATGATCACAGCACAAAATACAAAAATTTGAACGACCGCCTTCGCTCTTGATATTTTATGTAATTTATTAACTTTTTCGCCAGTTGAAATTTCCCATTAGATCTTTACCTTTTGATCGAAACTCTCTCTTCTCTCTTTATTATTTTCCGTTTATTAACTTTGCATTTCTCCCGTTTCGTTTACTATTTGCAATATTTACAGTTATTCTCGATAGCTTTTTGCGTTTTATTGACTTTTATTTTGTATGCACAAGTCGAGAGTATTGAGTATTAGGGGGTGCGGTGCAGGAGGGACTCGCGCTTCGACTTTGTTTTCGATCTGATCCCCGTTCCGATCTGATCCGTTCCGATTCAACCGATTCCGACAGTAGCTGGCGAGGTAAAAAACACAAACGTCAATCGCCGATTGTTTTTAAGCACGACACGGCAGCCCGGAGTGAGTGTGAAGGGGGAGATAGAGCAGAGAGCAGCAGCAGAGTTTAGTTAATAGTTTTTAGCACACACTCAGCACACACAGTTCCGTGGCAGCGTCCAGGTTCTGCTCTGTGCTCTGCTCGAGCGTGTTGTTGGGGAGAAGTGCACGAAAAGTGTTTGCTCGGGTGCTGTGCTGGCCGCTGCGGAGCGCTGCTTTGCTCAGCTTTTGCTTTCGAAGACCCAGAGAAGAATGAGTGAATGTAATTTCCATTTATGTTTTTAAGAGAGTGCCGTGCCGTCTGCCGTCGCTGTCGGCAGTCTTGAGTGGCAAGTTTAGAGAGCGCTGCCACCGATTCTTGACTGCGCAGCTGAATGCTGCTGGAATGCCTTAACATTGGACGAATTGCCCAGATAACACAGGGTGGACGAAAGTTCAACAGCAGTGTTAAAGGAAATTGTGGGGGAGCTCTGCCACTGAGTGAAACGCCAGCGCAGGCCGCACTCAGCCCCAAAGCGTCGCGGGAGAACGCCAGCAAAGCAAGAGAGTAAAGCGGCGCCGGCGCACTCTCTTTGAGTGCTTTTGCAGCGCTTGACTCATCGCTCGAGTGCGAAATGTTTGCAGTCTCACACGACGTTTGCTATTTATTATTGTTTTTATGCCAAACAAAATGT